TCAACGACCCGTCGGAGCACGTGCCCGGGGCCCGCGACATGACCCGCAGACGGCACGGGCTCCGCGGCGACGGCGGGGGGCGCCTCCCACAGGCGCAGTGCCTCGCCCACCCCGTGCACCGGCCGCGCCTGCGGGGGATCCTGGCCAGCCGTCTCGCGAGCTTCGGCGTCCTCCTTTCCGCGCAAAGCGTCCACCACCTGGGCCAGCTGGCCTGCCGACGCACCGCGGCCCACGACGGCGGACGACCGTCAGCGGGCGGCCTGGCTGGCTCGGTGCTCCGGGGCAAGATGGCATGAGCCGCGTCGTCTTCAGCGGAAGAGACGGTCCTGCTAGAACGAGCCTTGCCTGGAAACGAGCAGATTGCATCCTCCAGGACGGGGGCCTCCGCGTCGGCCCTCGAGGGGGCAGGCTGAGCAGAGGAGCGCTGAGCCAAGAACGCGTTCGCAGATAAATTGGTCTCCACAGCAGCACCTCGATTGTCGGGGCGCCTGCCAGACGCTATCTTCCTGTAACTGCGGTTGCCAGAAACATTGGGAGGTTTGCAGAGGGTGCCTCGCCCTTGGCATGGGCCCCCCACAAACTGTAGACACGACATAGAACGCAAGTACAAACCACAGGGCTTGCCCGAGCAAGCGAAGGCCACCGCTGTGCCCCAAGCGTTCTATGAGCGCCGAGCCCAGATGAGCGCGCCCCCTGCGGCCGGGGGCCCTGGGGCACTCTTCCCGAGATCACCACCTCACCAGGCCCCCTATGGGCATCTACGTTGGCCAGCGAATTGAGGCGGCCTCCTACACGAGCCACCCCTTGCAGCAAGAGGCGGCATGACAACTGCTTGGAGAGACTTGCGCGAGTCAAGGCCTAGGGGCACGGCCTAACAGCAAGTCTGCAGTCGCAGTAAGCATCCGAGGGCCCATGGGACAAAACGCCGACAGCTCAGCGGCCTGAAAGGGCTGGGCATGCGGGGGCCGCGCGGGGGGACGGACTTCTCACGGAAGGAAGCCTGAGCGTTGCACCATGCCGCACGGCACTGCTCAGACACGGAGCGGCGGATGCAAGACCCGTCTACAAAAAAACGACCCCCATGCCCCCAAGTCGGGCGAGGTGGCAGACGGCCTCGGAGTACTAGGGGCCAGAATCGCAAGAGCGCGCGAGCGGACCTGAACCTGCCCATCGGATGACGGCCTCGGGAAATAGCCCCCCTTGGGTGGCGAAAGGCTCCGTAGATCCAAAGACTCCACTGGAAATCCCCAGCTTCAGCTTGCAACGCTAATTCGATGACGTCAGAGTAAACAACTTCGGCGCGCACTCCCTCGCAAGCAGGGCACTCCCAAAGACGATGCCCACAAAAAATATGCGGCGCCTCCACAGAGGGAGCAAATAGCACAAATTTGATATCCCGCGAGTCGGGCTGGACTGGCCGCCCGGATCGCACTGCAGGAGAGAGCTCGCATAGTCCAGCGGTCCTTGGGGCTGATGCGTTTAAACCTCAGTTTGGACATGGCAATGTCCCAACATGACCTACGTTCATCTCTCGTGTTTCCCACGACAACCGTTCCGGACCACGACGCGCGGCAGCGCGACTTAGGGGGGCAACCAGCCTCGGAGACAACTCAACCAGCTGCAACGTCCTTCCTCGATCATCAGCAATGGCGCAGAAGTTGCATGAAGGGACCAAACCGAACCGAAAGCCGGTAACAATGACCGAACTGGATCAAAACAAGAAAAACAAACCGAATTCGTTCAGAACCGATCTGGAAAGAACTGAACCGAACCAGAACCGCAACAGAACCGGAACCAGGTGGCCCCCGAACTGAACCGACGTGAACCGAACCGGACACCCCAACCCAGCCCACACAGGACCGCAGGACGATGACCCCCCGTACCCCCACCACCCTGAAAGACGACGAGGCTTGCCCTCGTCCCCACCGATGGATTCGCCTCGGAATCCGGGTCAAAACGCGCGAGGAGATGGGCCGAGGCATTCAGGAGGAGGAGGAGGAGGAGGAGGAGGAGGAGGAGGCTGCGAGGCTGCGAGGCTGCGCCTATGTCGTCCCAGGGGGACGTCCCTACGCGGGGCTAGGCGGTGGCGCCGGGGCGCCGGCATCACTCGAGCATCACATATCGTATCGTTGCCATCAAATTCCATACCCTGTGGTTGTGTCGCTGTGGTTGCGTCGCCTATTTCGTTCTCTGCTTCACAGTCGGGGCGCTCTCGCTCCTTGCTTCACAATCGTGCGCTGTCATTCTCTGCTTCACAGTCGGGCGCTTTCGCTCTGCTTCACAGTCGAATGAAAATCTGGTTCACAGTCGGGCGCTTTCGTTCTCTGCTGGAGTCGGGAGGTTGGGAGCTGGAGTTGGAAAACTAGGAGCCGGAGTCGGAAGATGGGAGCTGGAGTCGGGAGATGGGAGCTGGAGTCGGAAAGGATGGACGTAGGAGTCGGAAATGTGGGAAAAATCAGAGTTGGAAGATTGAAATTGTGTATCATACCCTGACCAACTTATCCCATGTCCTGTGCTTGTGTCGTTGTTGGACGTTGTTTACGGGACGCGTGTGAATCTTCCATTTTTGCCCATCTGTCAACGTCAGATATCACCGATTCCCACTCCTTTGCGCACGTCGTACGAACAAAACTTGAAATATCGTCAATCCACCGTTTGTATGGTCGGTGTGGCAGGCGCTTCGCATTGATATGTGTGGACAGTGGAGGAGGGAGGAGGAGGGAGGGAGGAGGAGGAGGAGGAGGAGGAGGAGGAGGGAGGGAGGAGGAGGAGGAGGAAGAGGGAGGAGGAGGAGGAGGAGGAGGAGGAGGAGGAGGATGTCGATGGATTGTCTCTCAAACCTGCGGGCCCCCGAGGTCTCGACCCCTTCCCGGGCGGCTCTCCGTCCTGGCTCCCATTTTGGAGGGTCCTCTGGGGCCCGACGGCCCCCGTGAGCACGCCTGCGTCGCCGCGCCGCTTGCTCTCGACGCGCCCAGCGCGGACGACGCCAACGCCGCGGCAAACCCACGGAGAGACCTGCGCCCCGCGCCCGGAAGACGACGCTGGCACCGTGGCAGACCTGCGGCAGACGCTGTCCAGGCGGAGTTTGCCCTGGTGGCCGAGGCGCCCTCCCCAGGAAGCAAGGCCGCGAGTCGGCACAGACGGCGCGGCGACACGTGAAAAACGCAAGGAGTGACAAAAATCAAGCCGCCCGAGGTTTGATGAGGAGCGATCCTCCAACGCCCCCCCCACCTTGTGACTCCTCCTCCTCCTCCTCCTCCTCCTCCTCCTCCTCCTCCTCCTCCTCCTCCTCCTCCTCCTCCTCCCTGGATTCGGAGTCGTCCTCCACGTGGTTGCCCCTGAGATGCTGAGATCTGCCCGGGACAGGTGCCGCGCATGCCTCGAGCCCCCCCCCCCCAGAGGACTGGAGGAGAGGGGAACGCGCTCGCAGCGCGCCTGGAAGCGGCCCCTGGCCCCCAGAGGTCTCGGGGGCCCGGGGGCCCTCCGCGGAGACCCCAGAGGGCCCACCACGATGTCCAGAATGAACCCTCTACCCGCGAGCCTCGAGCATTTTGCGCCAAACGTGTCGCGTCCTCCTTCTCCTCCCCCCTTGTCGTCCTCCTCGGGTCGCCCAGGGCTTGGATCGCCAACCTTGTCTCCAGCCCTTGGCCGAGCATGTCCTTTGCGAAGATAGTTCGACGCACCTCCTCCTCCGTCCCCTTGCTGTATCAACAAATCCCCCCTTATCGAGCCCCCAGGCGTGTCGGTAGGGCGGGCTGGGTCTTTCGCCTGAGACTTCCATCTGAGATTGAAGTTTGACCCGGCAAATCAATATAGGGGGTTGTGGGCTTCAAAATGGGGCTATCTTCACAGCTCTGCGCACGTCCGTCTAAGAGCTTGCAATCGTATCAAGGATGAGACACAGGCTGTGTTCATAATTGGGCTCTCGACGAAACTCCGCCCAAATTCCTCTTAAAACAGTTCGCATTCGCAGCAAGGGTGTAACACAGGTCGTTTTCAAAAAAGGGATTCTCGCCCGAAAGACGCGCACGTTCGTCTGACAAGTTTGCGACAGCTTGAAGGGTGGACCACCTGCAGTTTTCAACACGGGGCTGTCGCCTGATAGCCGCAGACATCATGTTTAGAATGTCCGCATTGGCTGCAAGGGTGGAGAGTCGGCCGTTTTCAGAATGGGGCTCTGGCCTTAGCGCCGCGCGCGTTCGTCTTGTAAGTTTACCGTCGCTTTAAGGATGGAGCACGATCTGGTCGACGACGCGCGCACTCGTCGTAAACATTGCAACAGCTTCAAGGACGGATGACAGCTCCGTTTCAAAATTGGGTTTCGCATGAGACCTCCCTCGTCCTAGGTACCAGGATCTTGAGCACATGTAGCAGCTGTACGGATGGAGGGCAGCTCCTTCTTACAATGGGGCCATTGCAGTAACAAGCACTCCTTCGAAGCTTATAACGCGGAGCGCAAACTTGCGCAACCCTTATACGGACGGTGAGCGCTCTTTTTCAAGACGGGATTTTGTTGGACCCTTCGCTCAAGGCGCAACTCCTGTTCCACACGGGGGCTCTCGCCCGAATGGCAGGTCAATGTAGGGCGCTGGTCTCTCAAGGGGAACCTCCTCCTTGCTGTGAAAACAGGGAGGCTCGGCGGGACCTGTGGAGAGGGGGACTTGGGACGGGCGGTGCGCGGCAGCATCGCTGCTGCATCCTGGGCCTGGTCTGGTCCTCGCCATCCTGCCCCCCGTCCCTCGCCCTCGTCGGCCCCCGCCGTCCGCGTCTGCGCCCTCCTGGCGCTCCCCCCCCCTCCGCGCCCGCCAGCACTTCCCGCGCACGCGCCGCGGCGATCCCCGCCCGCCCCCGCCGTGCGCGGGAGCGGCGAGCGCCCGCCCCGCGGGAGCGCCCGCGCGCCGCGGCGGCGCCGCGGCGGGCCGCTGCCGCTCGGCGCAGCGCCGCTGCTCGGCGCGGCGCCGCCGCCGCGCAGCCGCCGCGCAGCGCGCACGCGGCGCCGCTCAGCGCGCCGCGACCGCCGCCGACGACAGCCTCCTGCCCGGGGGGGCGCCGGCCTGGACCCCTCCCCCGTGAAGGACGAGGCTGGGGCGGAGGCAAGATCGGATCGCGGCAGGCCTGTGCTCTCTGAGGGAGTTGTTGGCGGCGCGCACAAAGGGGGCGGTGGGAAGGGGGGGACGACTGCGCATTTTGGTTACGGCAAAGACCGATGGTCACCTGCGCGTTTCTTCAGCATCCTAGATCGAACCTTCTATCGCTTTGCTTCGAGCGATCCCCGCCGAAACCTTCGGCGCCTGTCCTCCTCATCCTCCTATTTCCTTCGCCTCCTCCCTCCTTCCTCCCTCCCCTCCCTCCTCATCCAACGAGTCCGGACAATGGCGCGGCCGCGCGCTCGGGCGAGGGCACTCGAGCGCGGTCGACCTGGGGATCTAGCGGCCGCGATATGCAGGGTGGGGGGGTCGGGAGGTCGGTTCTGAAAGTCTAACAACCCCAACCTGTCGAGTGGGGAACGAGTCTGATGTATTCTGTCGTGCTCTGCTCTGGAATATTAAGTGATGTCATGGTATGCTCTGTTATGTCATGATATGTTTTACCATGTTACGTTATGTGACGTGTTTCTCAAGTTCTAGTATGCCAGTATATTATATGTTATGTTCTGTCATGTTCTTCGAAGGCGAGGGAGGGCGGGATACTCGGGGGACTCTTGGTGGACCTGGGGGTCTAACGGCTGCGGTGTGCAGGGAGGGCGGGTCGGGTGGTCTGTCTGGTCTGGTAAAATTTGACAGCCCCAACCTGTTGGGTGGGGAAAAGCAATAGGATGACGGAAAGAGCGAGGCACGAGTGATGACGTTGAGTTGGGGCGAAGCCCTCTAGGGAGGGGTCCAGGGGAGGGCGGGGCCCGGACATAATGGCCTAATGGCCCGTTCCCCTTGTATTTGTTCGACTGAAGCGGCTCCCATTGACTTCCATACAGAATGTGTATGTGTTTCGGGTTCTCCCCTTTTTCCGTCCCAGAAGGGCCCCAGACAGCCCAGGAGGCCCCAAAGATCGTCCCGCGACGGCCCCAGAGGCGCCCCGAAGGGGCCCAGGACGGTCCAAGAGGGCCCCCAGACGGGCCCAAAGACGGCCCAAGAGGCCCAAAGATCGCCCCACGGCCCCGGAGGCGCCCCCAAAACAAGCCCAAAACGGTCAAAGAGGGCCCCCAGACGGGCCCAAAGACGGCCCAAGAGGCTTCAAAGATCGTCCCAAGACGGCCCCAGAAGCGCCCCAAAGGGGCATCAAACGGCCCAAGATGGCCCCCAGACGGCCCAAGAGAGCCCAAATACGGCCAAGAGAGCCCCCAGGGCCCTAAGAGGAGGGGGAGTGGGAGGAGGAGGAGGAGGAGGAGGAGGAGGAGGAGGAGGAGGAGGAGGAGGAGGGAGAGAGGAGGAGGAGGAGGAGAAGGAGAAGGAGGAGGAGGAGGAGAGGAGGGAGGAGGAGAGGAGGAGGAGGAGAGGAGGAGGAGGAGGAGGAGGAGGAGGAGGAGGAGGAGGAGGAGGAGGAGGAGGAGGAGGAGGAGGAGGAGAGGAGGAGGAGGAGGGAGGAGGAGGAGGAGGAGGAGGAGGAGGAGAGAGAGAGCGAGAGGAGGAAGGAGGAGGAGGAGGAGGAGTGAGGAGGAGAAGAGAAAACATGTGCAGAAGGAGGAGGGAAAGGAGGATGGAGGGGAGGATGAGGAGGAGAAAGAGGGAGGAGAAGGAGGAGAAAGAGGAGGCGGAGGAGGAGGAGGAGGAGGAGAGGAGGAGGAGGAGGAGGAGGAGGAGGAGGAGGGAAAAAAAGGACGAGGAGGAGGAGGAGGAGGAGGAGGAAGAGGAGGAGGAGGAGGAGAAGGAGGAGGAGGAGGAGGAGGAGGGGAGAGAGAGAGAGGGAGAGAGAGAGAGAGAGAGGAGAAGAGAGAGAGGAGAACGAGGAGAGGGAGGAGAAGGAGGAGGAGGAGAAGGAGGAGGAGGAGGAACGAGGACGAGGCCCAGGGAGGAGGTGGAGGGGGAGGAGGAAGATGATGAGGGTGAGGAGGAGGAGGAGGCGGAGGAAGGGAGGTAGAAGTAGGAAGAGGAGGAGGAGGAGGAACAGGAGGAGAAGGAGGAAGAGGAGGAGGAAGGAGGGAAGGGAGGAAGAGGAGGAGGGACAGGAGGAGGGGGGGAGGAGGGAGAGGGAGGAGGAGAAAGAGGAGGAAGAGCAAGAGGCGGAGAAGGAGGACGTGGAGGACGAGGACGAGGACGAGGGAGGAGGAGGAGGAGGAGGACGAGGAGGAGGAGGAGGCGGAGGGAGAAGGGAGGAGCGCCACTGCCAAAAGAAAAGAAAGAGCGGACAAGAGAGCGAACGAGAAGGAAGCCTGTCCAGGGGCAAGAGAAAGCCGCATCCCATCCAGGGGGCTTTCCTCAAGGCGCGGGAACAAGGAGAGGCGGCGACGCCCACGGCGAGGGAGGGCGCCCCAGCACCCAGACTCGCCCGCGACTGCTCGAGACTCAAAGCACTGTACTACTCAGCGGAGGGGCCTAACGGAGATGCTGGGCCGACCGAGCCGAGGCAGCTTGGGACAGCCTGGAACCCCGAAGACCACTCTTATGGCGGTAGGCGTTTGAGCTCGAACAAATCAGATCGCAAACCATGGCAATCCAGACAAGCTGAGAGAGGGGGAGCGGGAGAAACGGGACAAGGAGGAGGAGGTCGAGCGGGCCCAAAAGGGATAAGGAGGAGGAGGAGGAGGAAGAGGAGGAGGAGGAGGAGGAGGAGGAGGAGGAGAAGGATGGGGGAGACGTAAAAAGCTCTTCACACCCAAGTTCCCAAGCGTGAAGGTTACGTAAAAAGCTCGTCACACCAAGTCTCCCAAGAGCGAGCGGCAATGTAAACATCTCTGAACACCAGGGCTCCCAACAAAGAGTGGTGACGTAACAAGCTCTTCCCACCAAGGCTCCCAAGAGCGAACGGTGACGTGACAAACTCGTGCACACCAAGACTCCCAAGAGCGAACGGTGACGTACACAATTCTCAACACCAAGGTTCCCAAGAGCGAGCGGCAACGCAAAAGTCTCGGAACACCAAGGCTCCCAAGAGCGAACGGTGACGTCACAAACTCTTACCACCAAGGCTCCCGAGAGCGAAGGGTGCCATGACCCCTCTCGGGCAGGTTGCTGCAGCGCTCTTTCCGTTCCCGTGCCGGCCCAGATTCAGTAGTGCTGCGCATAGCTGCACCAGATCATATGTCTTCGTTGGTGCCAGTGGCCCAGTGCGGTTTTCCAACTTCGCTCTTCTGTTTCTCGAAGCCCCCAGGGGTGTTTCTCAATTCTTAGATAAAACGCTGATTGTGGCAAACCAAGCGGCGTCCCCAACCTGCTTCCTGCATGAGCCTGGGCACGCTCGTGCCACTGGTTATTGATAGATGCTCAATCGCCCGACGCAATCAAGCAAGAAGTCATACACCCGGAGGTGCGTAGAACAAGGATGTGGACACATTGTGAGCTAATATCTCGCCGCGGGATCGGCCGCTCCGAGGTGGGGCCCAAGCAGAAAAGAGAGGAGCCGGAGAGGGGGGGGAGAGGCGGGAGGCGAGGAGACGAGGAGGAACGGATGAACACAACGACAGAGCAAGGAGGGCAGCCGACTGCCCGACGACTCGAACCAATCGGGACGGCTGGGTTCTCGCCGTTTTGGACCTCCGGATGGTGGTTTCGGGCCTCTGGACACTCAGACAACGATTGGGGATGAAAAGCAGGCTCCGGGGAAGGGGTCGAGAGGTCCAAGCGCGGAAACGGGGGAAGAGGAAGAGGAGATGGAAAAAGATGCACTAGCCAGGGGAGGAACCGCAGCTGGAGGGGGTGAGGGGGGCGGGGGGAAGACGGCGACGAGGACGCGGACGAGGAGCAGAGGGGGTAGCGGGTAGCCAGTGGAAGAAGCACGAAGAGGGGGAGGGGGCAGAGGGAGTAAAAGGAGAACAATAGGGGAGGTCGCGGATGAGAAGGACAACGACGACGACGAAGACGGAAAGAAGGAACACAACCCGCAGCCGCAAGGGTAGCCTTACTTAGAAGCCAGCACCCGCAAAAGGGCGGGCGCCGATGCACCCCTGAGAAGCAGCACTTCAACCTTGAATTTGGTGTAAGTGTGCTGTAGGGCGAGAGCGAGGAGACGGATGAGGATGGGGGATGGGAGATGAGAATGACGGAGAACGAGGTCGGGGACACGGTAGGGGGTAATGAGGAGGACGGGGAAGAAGGTGAGGAGGAGGAGGATGAGGATAAGAATAAGGAGAAGGCCAGTGAGGAGGAGGAGGAGGTAGAATTTGGTGGGAGGACGCACGTGCACGCTCAAACACAAACACACACGCACACCATCCCCACCATCACCAACAGCAACAATCATGTACAGACGGTTCGTTCTTCACTCCCGCCCACTTCGTGTTATGAGCGAAACACGACTTCCGGTACTTCCGAGGTGGGGGGCCATTGCCGCTCCTCCCGTCTTCACCCTCCCACCCCCTCCGCCCTACGCCTGTCTACAAGCTCCTGCCTACCTCCTGCCTCCCAGCTCGTACCTACTGCCTGCCGCCACCTTCCCTGCCGCCCCCTCCAGGGACGGTGGGCATTCTCCGCGAGCTGCTGGGTGGTGCAGCGGAGTGCGGTCGCACTCGAAGCGAAAGTATCGTCCCCCGCCCCCTCCCTCGGCGCTGCCAACTGCGCACCTGTTTAGGGAGGGGGATGTTCAAGGAGGGGGGAGCGATGAGGAAAAGCGAGAGGGAAGGGAGATGGGAGGAGTAGATAATTCTAGGGAGAAGGAGGCGGCAGAAGGAAGGATGATGGAGGAAAGGTGGAGAAGGAGGAGGAGGAGAACGAGGAGGGAGGGGGGGGCTCCTGGAGGTCCAGTGGGGCGCTGCATTATTCAAAAAGCAAAAACCATGACCTCCGCCCCCCGCACCCATCCAAGGAAGGCCAGTACAGCTGCGCAACAGTCACAACGTTTCGCGAGCTACTGGGGATTTTGATGAGAGATGCCCGCCAGTCGGAAGAAGTATAAGACTATCGGGCTCCAGATCGGCGATGCGGAGCGATCCTCCGACCCCATCTGCTGCGACCCCTCCTGGGAGGCCTACTTCCAACGAGCGGCGCCCGTAGCCATGATCAGAAGCATCGTGTTATCGCCGTTGCGCCCCCTTCGTCTGCCAAACGAGCAGGGCCCGAGTGCGGGTCGCATCGACTCGCCCTGGCGACCTGGTACATCTGTGATCGATGCCATGTGGCAGCCAGTCTGTGCTTCTGTCCGAGGAGGAGGAGGAACAGCAATACGAAAGAGGATAATTGAGGTGATCGAAAAGACGAGGAGGTGAGTGACGCGGAGGAAGATGCCGATGAGGAAAACGACGACGAGGGAGAGGACCTTCGTGAGGAGAAGGTCGACAAAGCTAGACCTTCGATGGCATTGGTTGATTTGTCCTTGCATGTTTCTGACCAACATACATCTAAACGTCTTTCCCTGAACACGCTTGTTCATCCCGAACCGTTTCGGGACGGTCCTGCGGCCGATTGCTGGGGCCCCTGGATGCCAAAAGATTTGAAATCGACCGCAGTCTAGAGGTTTCTCCAGCCGACGGAAGCGTGGGGAATTCAAGTCTGGACCTGCGGGGGTGCGTAGGAGGAGGGGGAGGAGGAGGAGGAGGAGGAGGAGGAGGAGGAGGAGGAGGAGGAGGAGGAGGAGGAGGAGGAGGAGGGAGGAGGAGGAGGAGGAGGAGGAGGAGGAGGAGGAGGAGGAGGAGGAGGAGGAGGAGGACGATAAGGAGGAGGAGCGCGAGGGGCCAGGCCCATGGCCTGGACTCTGTGTGTGCGTGCGCGATCTGATGAAACGCCGTTGTCTGCAGTCCTCTGGCGAAGCCGGCCGCGGCGACGAGAAGCCCTCCCGGAGGCCGAAGGAGGGGCGAGCGCGTCCGAGAACGGATGTCCCTGGATCCGGAAAGCTCGAGCCACGCCTGCTCTTTCCTCCTCCCCGTCAGGCCACGCCACGGCGGAGGAAGGGCGGAGGGCAGCAGAAGGCGAGAGAGGAGCGACGAGAGTGTGACCAAGACGCCACGACGGAGGAAGGGCGGAGGGAAGCAGAGGGAGAGAGGAGCGACGAGAGCGTGACCGAGCCAGGTGCGCTCGCGCCGCACCTGACACCCTTACACATCCCACCCTCTCCGCCCCATGGCGATGAATCCTTTTTCTATCCGCCGGCGGGGGGGGTTCTAGAGGACGGTGATCCCCAAATGGAAGCTGGCAGACTCGGCCCATCGCTTATACCGGAAAGTCGAAGAGGGGACTCCGTTCGGTTGAGGAGTCCGATTAGCAGGATGAGGAGAACGCATGAGGAAGACCAGATGGAGCAGGAGTAGCATGAAGCCCAGGGGAAGGCGCAGGGGAAAAGGAGGAAGGCGGCAACGCCGAGGAACGAATCGGACTTCGAAGGGCCAAATTATTTCTGGTCGATCTGGACGAAGAACATAAAACAGCTGCACATCCAAAAAATGGCATCCTTCGTATGACAAGCGATGCGAGAGAGAGGGGCTGGAGATCCGCCGGACACTGCCAGCCGTGGCGACGAGAACGCCCCAGTAGGCGCGCAAGCGCCCAAGAGGCGTCCAAGGACCTCAGCATTCGATCCTCGAAGCTCGAAGGGGTGGGGCACTCCTCCCTCGAAGTCGGGAAGGACCCAGAGATCTGAAGGGCGCAGCTTCCTGGACACCCAGACCCCTCGATCCCTGCGCCAGGACCCGATCCTCTGCCAAAGCAATGGTTGCTGCCCCTGGAACGATCGTGACCTGCCAGCAGCGCCGATCCCTCGACAAGCAGCCGATTCTCTACCAGAGTAATGGCTGCTGCCCCTGGAAGGATCGTGACCTTCCAGCAGCGCCGACCGCTCGACAGGCCGCCGACTCTGGGCCACTGGCGCGCTTTCAATCTTGAGCGCCCGCGCCAGGCTTTGCCACCGCACCGACACGACGCGAACCCACATCAACTGCATGTTCGACCATGGACCCTCTGTCACCATCGGTCTCGGGCGGTCTTCGGCAGACGTGCGGCAGCTTTCGGCAATGGTTGGTTGTCTTCGGCGGTCACGGGCGGTCTTCGGCAGCTTCTGGTGGTCTTCGGCGGCCTTCGGCGGATTCTGGCGGTCTTCGGCGCGCTACACATGGGCCCATGATCGACTTGCCGTCGCTCGGACGTCCATTTCCCGTGCATTTCCCGGTTTCGTGCGTGCTTTTTGCTTGCTCGATCGTCCAGGATGGTCCTCGATGGTTCTCGCCAAGAGAAAATGCACACGTCCGAGCGATGCCATGATCGAACTCCGAGCAAGCATCTCCCCCCCCCGAGGTCGGGGGGAGGGGACGGGACGCCGCGCGCTTCGCCCCGCCGCGTCCTCAGCAGGCCCTGCGTGAGGCCCGCCTCGGCGGGCTCGCTCGCCGCCCGGGCCGCCCGCGCGCGGGCCTCGCAGGGCCGCAGGCGGCAGGAGAGCAGAAGCAGCCATGCGCAGCAAAGGCACGCCGCCGTGGATAACCCCGCCAGCGCGCCGCTGCCGAAGGAGCCGGGGGGGGGTATGCGGAGAGAGGGGGGGCGAAGCCCGAGAGAACTGGGAGAAGGAGAGGCCGAGGAGCAGGACCAGCAGGTCGAGCTCTGAAGAGAGGCTAAGGAGGAGGAGGAGGAGGAGGAGGAGGAGGAGGAGGAGGAGGAGGAGGAGGAGGAGGAGGAGGAGGAGGAGGAGGCAGGAGGAGGCAGGAGGCAGGAGGAGGAGGCAGGAACCAAGAGCCTCGGTGGAGGAGGAACCAGGGAGGTCGGGGAGAGGCTCGGGGAGGTCGGGGAGGACGGCCAGGCCTCGAGCGCACGGCAGAGGGCGCCACGCAGGTCCTGCTCGGCCACGGAGGACCGGCTCGCGCGCAGCGCCAGGAAGACGGCCTCCGGGCGGACGCCGCATCCTCCCCTCGGAGTGCCTCCGTCGCCTGCCCGTCGGAGGCTCGCTCCTCCCTCGGGCGCTTCCGCCTCCTGCGCCTCCACCTCCTCCCCCCTCCTCCTCCATGCCTTTTTCTTCTACAGGGCAGTTGTTAATACATGGGATGTTTAAAACATATGGGATTTTTCACGAGGATCAATTTAAGAATTCGCCGGCCCAACGGGCCAGAGGCGTGCTAAGATCTCCGGTAACTGGTTAACAATTCTCTAGTTCGCGCGCGCGGGGCGGCCCCTGGGGGCCCCCGGACGAAAAGTACCCCGGGCGGGTCCCGGCTGATCCCTGGGCGACTCCACCAGAGCGCTCCATGAGCGCACCAACAGGGCTCCGAGACGTCCCCGAGAGCCCCAAGCAAGGCCAAGAGGCCCCCAAGAGGCCCCCAAGATGGTACACGAGGGGTCCGACATGCCACAAGATCGCTCCAAGACGCCCAAGACAGCCCCCAGACGCTCCAAGAGGCCTCCAAGAGCACTCCCACGAGGGCCCCAAGAGGCAAACTTCATTGCTTTTCCCCAGGTTTTTGAAACATTTTGGAGCTTCCACCTTTTCGGCTTCCCGACGCCCCAAGACGGCCCAAGAGGCCCCCAAGATCGCCCCAAGAGGGCCCAAGAGGCCCCCAAGAGGGCCCCAAGATGGCCCAAGAGGGCTCGAAGACAGCCCAAGAAGCCTCCAAGACGGTCCAAGAGGGCCCCGAAGAACGCCCCCAAAGGGGCCCCAGAGAGGGAACACGAAACAACATTTCGAGCCCTCGGCCCTAAGAAGCCCCCACGAGGCCCCAAGAGGCCCCTAAGAGGCCCCAAGAGGCCCCCACGAGGCCCTCAGGAGGCCCCCAAGAGTCCCCCAAGCGGCCCCAGGAGGCCCCCCAAATGCCCCCCCGAGCACGCAAGCAAGTGCAAGCGATGCTACAATGTGCTCTCCTTCCGGTAGACTCCCAACGGGGCCCCTACAGACTTGCAACAAGCGTCAAGAACCTGCCCCAAAAGCACTGTTCAGGAGCGTTCCCAAGTGCCGCGAAGAAGCCCTCCTTACGCCGGAAAGCCCGGAAAGCCGGGTGGGGTGAGCTGTTCTTCTCACCACCGCGCCCTCTCACACAATGGCTTCCGCACGCCGCCCAGAGCGCGATGCCTCCCAGACTGTATGGGCCGGCGGAATGAGCGAAGCGATTAAATAAGTTTATGCATGCACTCATCGTTGTTTTGTAATACTAATCCCCTGCATTTCGGATACATGACCCGCACGTGGAGCATGTATAAAAAACGACACTGTAAGATACTCCCCCCTGTCGCGCCCCGCATTGTGTCGGTGGGGCGGGCCCAGCGTCTCGCCAGAGACCTCCTCACCACTGGTGCGCCCGAAACTCACGATTGGCGACAGCCTCACGGGCAGAGGGCGGGTGGTTCCCAAAATGTGGCTCTTGCCGTAGCGCCGCGCTCATTCGCTTGAAAGTGGTGCAATGGGTTCACGGCTGGCGGGCGGTTCCTTTTCAAACGCCGCGCACAGTCGTCCTAAACGCGTGCAGAAACTTCGCGGGTGAACGGCGGCTCCTTTTTCTAAATGTGGCTATCGCCTTAGCGCTGCGCACATCCGTCTTATGGTTGACGTCCCAGGGACGGTGCTCCGACAGAATTTAGGATTGTCAGGGCGCAGCGGTCACCTTGACTCGCGCAGCTGAAATCCAGGGAATGGTGTCATGGCACGATTCAGGATCGTCCGGTCGCAACAGGAGCGTGGACTCGCGGCGTTGATAGATTAGGGATTGTGCTTTGGCACAATTGAGGATCCTGAACGGGTTGTCTTCCAACGGGGCACTTCCCACAGTGGCAATCAATTCATGCAGGGACCTGTGAAGAGGGAACTTGGAAGGAGGGTTCGCATGCGTCCGCGCCACCCAACACAGCGCTTCTTGGATCCATGGGGAGCTCTACCGAACGCACCAGAGGGAGCGTTCGCATGCGCCCACGCCTCCCAGTACAACGTTCCGTGGCCCCACAGGGAGCTCCGCCGAAGGCCCCAGAGGGAGCGGGCGCATGCGTCTTGCCCTCACAATACAGCGCTTCGTGGCTCCACAGGGAGCTCCACCGAAAGCCGAAGAGGGGACGTTCGCATGCGTCCGCCCCACCCAATACAGCGCTTCGTGGCCCCATCGGGAGCTCAGCTCCAGAGGGAGTGTTCGCAGGCGTCCGCCCCGCCCAGTACAGCGCTTCATGGCCCCATGGGGAGCTCCGCTGAAGGCCCCAGTGGCCACGGCTGCATGCGCCTCACCCACCCAGTTAAAGCGCATGCGCCTCCCCCACCCCCACCGAACGCTCCATTAGTCGCCCCAATACAACGCTTCGTGGCCCCATGGGGAGCTCCACCGAAAGCTCCAAAGGGAATAGTCGCATGTGCCTCCCCACCCAGTGCAGCGCTTCGTGGCCCCATAAAAGGGAGTTCCACTGGAAGCCCCAGTGGCCGCGGCCGCATGCGCCCGCCCCCGCCCAGCACAGCACATCGTGGCCTCATAGAGGGCTCCACCAAACGCTCCAATGGCCGCGGCCGCCTGAGTCTCCCCCCCTCCCAGTACAGCTCTTCTTGACCCCATCTGGCGCTCCACCGAACGCTCCAGTAGTCGCGGCCGCACGAATCTCCCCCACCCAATGCACCGCTTCGTGGCCCCATAGGGAACTCCACCGAAGGCCCCAGTGGTCGTGGTCGCATGTGTCTCCATGTCGGTCACGGCCGCGTGCGCCCCACCATCCCCATCCAGTGCAGCGCTGCGTGGCCCCAAAGGGAGCTCCACCGAAGGCCCCAGTGGTCGCGATCGCATGCGTCTCCCCCACCCAGTGAAGGACACCCATTACAGCGGTGCCCACGACGCGGCATTTACAACTACACATGGTTGGATCCTCCGGCAAGATAATTTCATTGAGCCGCCAGGTCTCCAGGCCCGCCCTGGCCTCGTTGACGACGTTAGCGAGCTCCGCGCCGCTGAAACCCTCCGCGCCCGCGGCCATGGCCTCCAGGACCCCCGCCGGCGGGTCCGCGGCCATCGGCGCCCTGGAGCTGTAGAGCCGCAGGATCTGGAGCCTCTCCTCCTCGCGGGCAGGCGCGGCGGCGAGAGGTCGGCCGGCCGGCCGAGTGAGGCTCGGACAACAAATGATACAAATGATCCGGGCGGCCGGGCGGCAAACATTTTTTACGCAAGGTGTTTACCTTGGTTCGTGCCCAAGGACCATCGCAGATCGATCTGGCTCCAAAACATGGCGGAAGTGGAAGGGCTCTGGGGATCTGGTCGCGATTGCCCGCGATGTCGCAGTTGTTTCGCAGCGTCGGACCTGTCAGGGGAGCCATCCTGCCCAAGAGCGCGAGGCGGGGTACCCCGGGACCGCTGGCACACTTCGTGGGGCCCGGCGGCTGCGGTATGCTGGCGTGCGGGGAGTGATGGGAGCTCTCAGCATTCCATCTGGCAGCCCCGACCGGTCGGCTGAGAAACATGTGCGGAGACCGCAGCGGGCGGATCGGGCAGGCTGGCCCGGACAGACGGGATGGCCAGACGGGGCGCTATCGCGGCGGGCGGGCGGACCTAAGGAACGGGCGGGCGGACCCTGACAAGCGGGCCGGGCGGGCGGGCGGGCGGTGGTGCAGCTCGCTGGCACCCCTCTGCGCTCTGCGAGTGATGTGGATGCAGGGCCACGATCACGACACGAACTGCCTGCCGAAGGAGCGCGCGCGCTGGCACGCGCCGCACGCAGGAGGGGGAGGAGGAGAAGTAGGGGGGAGAGACGGACCGATACGCCTAACGGACAAATTTTCACAACTCGCCGGCCCCGCGAGAGTCGACCCCGTTCCCCAGGGGGGGCACGTTCTCGTCCTGTCCAATGTCTGCTGGCCCCGCAAACCCAAAACGGCCTCGGGAGGCCGAAATCATAGGAAGGCGTCGGGACTGAACCAGGACGACCCGCCCGAAGTGTGGGGACGTGAGAGGTCGTCCGACCAGGTACGGGCTTCTCGGGGGCCTCGGAGAGGCTCCCGAGAGGCCACGAGGACGTTTTGGGGGCGGCCATGTGCAGGTTGCTCTGATCAGCTGGCCCATGACCCTTATATCCTAGATTCGCGCGTCGCAGCAACATTTGTAACGACTTGCTTTTCGTTATTTTCGGCCTCTGGAAGAAGATTCCTGGGCTCCAGGGCAATTGTGAAAACATCATCATCCTGATGAAGGATCCATATGCGGGTGCGTGGAGGGGCAGGTGCCTAGGGGGCCACGAAACGTGTGAGGGACGTGCCGATATGGTTGCGGGGCCACCATGCGATGCGGACGCTGCCGCTGGGTCCTTCGGTGGAGCTCCCCATGGGGCGACTGAACGTGTGAGGAGTGACTCGAGGGAGGGCAGAGGCAGGAATGTGAGGGAAGGGGTGGGGGGGAGGATGTGGGGTGAGGAACGCGGGCAGCTGTCTCTTCAAAACGAGGACCCAAGACCACAAGGTGGTTGGGAACAATCCGGGATGAACAGCCAGCCCTGGGCCAGGGGCCCCGGGGAAGTGGTCGAGATCCCCGGGTGTCAACGTTGCGAAAATCATGCAACGTCTGAGGAGAGGGACCTTTGGCAAGATATGTGGGAGGCGACTAGAAGGACGACAACTTTAGCAGACGCAGAGAGGTGTAAAACATTCGTTCCGGCATCGGGGAATGCTGTCCCCCAGGGGCGGCTGGACAGTTGATACCCCGACGTGCCACCGCAGGGGTAGAAACTTTCCAGCCGCCATGGGACAAACGTCCCCGATGGTGGGCAGGAGTACGCAATACCGGCCTGCGCCCGCGAAAGACTGACGCGAACACCCACGTTCGGAGGTCTGCGAGAGTTCTTTGGTCGGCGCCAGGTGTCCCTCCCCTGGCGCGCAAAACCCACCGCGGGCGGCGCCGCAGGCGCCGCCAATGGGGGGGGCCCACAAAGCCTGGGCTGAGACAGTGAGCAGGGCCACAAGTTTTTTTGTGACAAGAAATGATTATTCTCCGCGTTCGCTGACCCGCCGGCGAGCGCCCAGGTGGACCCCAGCCTGGGCGCGCAGGAGGGATCGATGACACTCAGCACGTGTGCTAGCGCCAGGGTCTGCTTGTCCACCGAAGCCTTTCAGCACAGCTCAGGATGCGCGCTGTCAGCAGAGCCGAAGTGGGTAAACACACCCTTGGGCTACCTCACGGATCGCCGAGAGGAGGAAGCATGCGCCACAATCGAATCGCCCTCTGGACGCGCCGGCGGCCGCCGCTTGGCGGTCGGCCGCGGGCGCATCGGCAGCGAGGCTGCCGTCAGCAGATGGGAAGCGACTCCGCATGCACGGGGTGGAGGGGCGAGGAGGAGGAGGAGGAGGAGGAGGAGGAGGGCGAGGAGGAGGAGGATAAGGAGAAGAGGAGGAGGAGGAGGAGGAGGAGGAGGAGGAGGAGGAGGAGAAGGAGGAGGAGGAGGAGGAGGAGGAGGTGGGGGGCATGCAACACTCGGCCGACACTGACACTCGACGCCTGGCCAGGCCGACGTGGCCAGGCCAAAGGCGCCCCCCGCCCGGCGCCTGGGAGGAGGCGGCCGGGCACGGGCCTGGAAGACAGGCGGCCGCCCCGCTCTCGGCGAGGCGTCCGCGGCCGCCCCGCTGCCTCGGCGCAGCGGGGCGGTGGGACAGAGGCTGACGGCTCGCACGAGGGGGCGGTGGCGAGGCAGGGGACCCTTCCAGAGGGCCGGGGGGCGTCTCGGAGGCCCTCGGCAGAGAGGCTCCCCCCCCCAGGGGCCGCCGCCCCTAAGCGGAGAGGGGCGCCGCCCTGCTCTCCTGGGCCAAGTCTCCCTCGCCCTGCTCCCCCTCCCCATCGCCTCCGATAGCGCTACTCCCCGGACCTCCCCCAGGGCGAGTCCTGACCAGGATTTCGAGGCGACGCCAGCGGGGGCGACGAGGGCCTTCCAGGAGGCAGAACAAGGGGAAGACGAGGAAAAGGTAGAGATGGGCCGGGCGACGAAACGGAAAGAAAAGAGAAAAAGGGGAAACAGGAAACGGGACACCAGGGAGACGGGAAATGGGAAACTGGGAGCACGAGGCCAAGGAAGGCACAAGGGGAAAGAGGTAATTAGAGGAACAGGGAAAGGTGGCAGGGGAAAGGTACAAGGAGAAGGGAAAGGCAGGGCAAAACAAAAAAGGAAAAGGGCAACAACGGGAAAACGAGGGAAAGAGGCCACGTGCGCTGAGCGACGCCGAAGGGCCCCGCCACGAGCTGGCCGCGCGGCTCACGGCTCCGCCGGCTGGCCGGGGCCCCCCCGCGGGCCGGCCCACCGCTGCTCCGCGGGCACCATGGCCAGGAGCTCCGGGATGCCCTCGGAGAGCAGGGCGTTGAGCTGGCTCACCCTCTCGGGGGCCAGGCGCTGGACCTGCGATCCCTCCTCCCTCCTCCCTCCGCCCTCCTCCCTCCTCCCTCCTCTCTCCTCCCTCCTCCCTCCTCCTCCTCCCTCCTCCCTCCTCCTCCTCCCTCCTCCCTCTCCTCCCCCCTCCCCCCTCCTCCTCCTCCTCCCTCCTCCCTCCTCCCCCCTGCCTCCTCCCCCCTCCCCCCCCCCCTCCTCCCGCCTCCCGCCTCCCCCCTCCCCGCCTCCCTCCTGGACCTGCGAGCAGTCGATGGCGGAGAGCTTGTCGCCCATCACCTCGAGGTTCGGGAAGTCCTCGCGGGCGCAAGAACAGAGCCGCACCCGCGGCCCCGCGGGCCGGGCCCCCGGGCCGACGCCACGCGGATACGGGGCGTGCTGTCGGCGAGTGCCCCGCGCGGGACGTATCCGCGCGACCGCGTATCCGCGGGATCGCGTCCCGGAGCCCAAACCACAAAAACCCGTCTACGGATATGTTAGCCGCTCGTGGGATCCCCCACGGAGATCTGGTGGCGCCTGGCGATGCCCTGCGCCAGCTTCGGCAGACGGTTGATGAGCTCCTGCTGCTTCTCGGCGTGGCCCCACATCGTGGGCATCTGGCTGCGGATTTCCTCGAGCAGCAGCGCGTGTGACTTCACCATCCGGGCGCGCTTGCTCAAATCATTGATCTTCTGCACCGAGGAGCTTCGTGGCAGCTGCTCAATCTGCCTAATGAGGTCGTCCATCTCTAGCTCGAAGAGGTTGCTCAGCTCTTTGTTCGCCAGCGGCTCGTCCCAGAAAGAACCCACATACACGCGGGTGACCTCCGGGGTGTCCATCACCTTGCCGAGGGACCACATGAGCGCCCCGTTGATCCTGAGCAGCTGCTGGGTGGAGACCTGGTCAGCCTTGTTCATGACCACATGGACCTTGTTCACGTACGGGCTGAGGACTGCAATGCACCGCATGAGCTCGTCAGACACGTCTGGCTTGTGAGCGTCGAAAAACAATATGATCATCGCAGCGTGCTCGGCGAACCACTGCATCACCTCCTCGAAATCGTAGCCGCGCTTCAACCGCTGCCTCTCGCCTGACAACACCCCTGGGGTGTCGATGAACGTGACGCCCTCGAGCACCGGGTTGGGCATCCGTGCACACTCCAGTCTGGACAAGAAGCTGTTCCCAAAGGCGCGCAGCGGCGTGAATGGGAGGCTCTGGTCATACACCAGGGCATTGCCCGGAATGATCTGAGGCTCCTGCCCGTGACAGACTGCCACGAACCTGTCGGTTGTTGGCTCGGGCCCGATCTGCGCATTCGGATACAGGTCACCGATCAGGTGCTGGACGAAGGTCGTCTTCCCGGTGGAGAAGGCGCCCATCAGCAGGATCACCGGCCGGCTGGAGAAGTAGGCGGGCGGGATCTCTGGCTGGTGGAAGTAGTGGAACTGGCTGGCCCGCTCCAGCGGCAGCAGCTTCTCCGCGTACAGCTGCAGCAGCCCTTCGGCGATATTCCGGAAGCCGTGTCGCCTGGACCGCTCCTTCGGATTGTCGTCGCTCTGGTTTCCCCAGCGCTGCGGCGCCGTCAGGGTGAGGTCGCCTCGTCCCCGCACCGCGGCGTCATCCGCGTTGTCGTGCCTGTGTTGCCTCCGGCCCCCCTCCTCGACCTCGACGCCGCTGTCGGCGATGCAGCACCACATTTTCAGAAGTGCTTCCACCGACAAAAAAAAGTGTCGCCTGTGAGAAAAAATACTGCGGACTCTAAAGGTGGAGAGCGACGACGACGACGACGAGAAGATGGCGGAAGAGGGGGACGACCACAACGAGGAAAGGGGGAATGGGAAGGGAGAAGAAGAGGACGTGATGTAAGAGACAAAGGAGGATGAGGACACGGAGGATTTGGAGGATGGTGCGACATGAAGAAGGAGAAGGAGGATGAGGAAGAGGACGAGAAGACGGAGAATAGGAACTAGGGCCCCCTGAGGTCTCGACATCTTCCAGGACGAGAGTTCTGTCCCGAGTCCGTTTTGAAAACCTCACCGCCTGGCAAATGCTTTGGTCCGAATTTCGAGGCAGATCCAGCCGCGCGGCAACGAGAAGCCCCTCAGAGGCCCAAAGCGGGCTAAAAAACCATGAGAGAGGGACTGGGTGCGTTAGTATGAAAGCGGCCTTTCTGCTCTGACTCGCCCTTGAACGCTCTGGGCGACGCGCAGGGGTGCAAAGTTGTGGACGATCCCAGGAACCCTGAACCAAAACAAATGGAAACGTCGGGGACCTACTGACCTGGGTCAATGCAAACTTGGGCCAGCCAGGCCTAGCGAGATCCTGCGACATCCTGCAAGATCCTGCACGCAAAACTCCTGGCTTTGCAGGATCCTTCGAGATCCGGCGCCCTGGCGGACCCCCGTTTGCAGGGACCCCCGTCTCAAGGCTCTCGGTAACTAGGGGAACGAAGCATGACATAACTAACCACAAGAACTCGGAGGTCCGCGTGGATTTCTTGGATCCGCGCTGGAGCCACCTCCCTGGCGCGCGGAGCGCGCCAGGGGCGGTGCTGGAGGCGCCGATGTAGTGCGCCTCGTGCTTAGGCGCCCCGATGTAGGCTCCAGGAACTCGGCGAGGCGGTGTCAGGTTATACGTTCGGGAGGGGACGCAGGCGGACGCAGGGGAATGTCAAATGAGAGGAGAAGAGATGACATGCGGAAATGAGCACATACTGCTCTCTTTGAAGCGGGGTCCCAGCGAGACAATTCTTGAAGGCTGAGAACAACACGTTGTCCTCCAGCAGAAGTGCTTACCGTGTGAGAAGAAGAAGAAGTCTCCCAGCGTGGATCCCACACAGTAAGATTGTGCACTGTGGATGTGCGAGCTGTTTGGTGGAAGAAATGTCGTGCAAGCTGTGTAGCGGAAGCAGTGTGGAAGAACGCGCTATGATGGAAGCTGTGACGTGAATGCTGTGCGGCGGCAGGTATGTGATGGGAGCTGAGTGGTCGAAGCAGTGTAGTCGAAGCAACGTGGTAAGCCACGTGGTGGGGACCAAATGGTGGACGCCGCGTGGGGGTGCGACGCCCTGTTTTTTTCAGGACGGCGTCCCCGGAAGTCCCGACCTTGAGCAGGGACCGACCGTCCCGTCGTACCACGAAATGTTCTTAGAACCCAGAACTGCACCAAGAACAAAATCAGTGTTCTTGGAACATAAACCCGATGCGTTCAAACAAGCCAGACTCCGCCAAACATGTTCTAAGAGCATTCCGTGGAAACCATCACAGATTCTTAGAACATTCTTTGGTGGGGCCATAGGCGAACCAGGACGCTTCGCCACTGCTTGACCGACCCCTTCCCCAGGACCGGCTTCTCGCGTTTCTCGGGGCCGGCCCCTGGGGCCTGGCGAGGGCCTCCGGGGCCAAACATAATGAAAAAAACCTCCCGCCCTGATTTCTGCAACGCCGCGAGCATCGGGCCGGGCGAAAGGGAGGGATAGCAAAGGGGGGGTTTGAGAATCAGCTCTCGTGGCTGATTTTCCCGGCGCCTCCCGGCGCAGGAGGCGGCTATAGATCGAGGAATGGACCCCTTTCCCAATCTCATGCAGCAAATGGGCCCCAATTCCCAATCCGGAGGCGGCCGAAACCAGCTGCATGCAGCAAATTTCGGAACCCCCCCTTTCCCAATCTCCCCCTTTCGTCCGGCCCGAGAGGGGGCAGCGGAGCTGCTGCCGCGCTACTGCAGAGAAAGACGAGGGGAACGAGGAGGAGCGAGGAGAACGACAGCAAGCACGGTGAGAACGAGGAGAAACGAGGGGAACGAGGAAGAACGAGTGCAAGCGTTGTTCGAGGAACGAAGAGAAGCGGCACCCATATGGGACCACCAGCCGGAGGAGCCAGGGCCCCCCCCCCGGTGGTGTGGCACACCTCCCCATATCATTATGGACCTCATCGCTCGAGGTTGCCCCGGTGGTGGTGTCGCTTCTCCTTCCCCCAAGGTTTGGGGAAGATGCCGAATAATCCTCAGCGTTCGAAGGCCCGCGTGGATGTACTTCTTGGGGTCTGCGCTCGACCCCTGGGCGCCAGGTGCGCTGCCACGGTGGTCCAGCGCCGACCCGAGGAATCCGCACGGACCTCCGAAAGTGAACGTGAGATCGAAGTGTGAAGGACCGAACTCTGGCACCATCCCTGGGCGGTTGCCTGAAACGGGCTTCTGCAGTTAGAAGCCTTATTGTGTGGTCGTCGTTCTCCCCCGCGACCCGTCCGCGCGACCGCCAAAGCCCCACCCGCGACCCACCCACATTTCTTTGACGAAGTCGGCGCCTGCTGCTGGCTCGCTGTGCAATGTGGAGCAAGCACGGCGCCTGCGGCGCGCTTCTTCAATCTGCTGTCGATCCTCGCAGACCGCCTCCGACACCCTCGCCCCCTCGCTCTTTCAGTCGGGGCCCTGAAGAAGGAACCCTTTTCGTTGGAGAGGGGCTCCGCGTTCCTTAAGTGTTTCGCAGCTTGCCTCAGGTGTTCCTTATGTTTTCGATGGGAAATCGAAGTTTAACTCATGGAAAAAGGGGCCTCGTTCCTTATTTTAGGTTCCTTAGGACAAGGCTCCGACGGTATCTGAAAACCGCGGGGGCTGCGGCACAGCTCTTGATTTCCCTAGCCAGGGATTCTGCCCTGCCGATCCCAGGCGGTCAGCAGTCCTGGAGGCCCCTCGAGGCCCTCGAAGGCCTCGGCAGAAGGCGCAAGAATGACCCAAACGTACACAAACATCTCGATCCTTGCCGCCGTAGTCGCGGCCGCCGTGGCCGACGACGACGTCGTCGTCGACATTGTCGTCGTCATCGTCGTCGTCCGCGGCATTGTCGTCGGCGTCGTCGGCGTCGTCGTCCTCGTTGTCGTCCTCGTCCTTCCTCCTAGGGAAATGGGGAAAGTGGAGGAGGAGGAGGAGAAGGAAGGAGGAAGCGGGAGGAGGGAGGAGGGTTAGGAGAAGAAGGGCAGGGAGGGGAGCGAGGAGGAGCAGGGCGCCGAGCAGGAGGAGGAGAAGGAGGAGGAGCAAGAAGGTCGGTCGTTCGGTGGGATTCGGCATTGCGGCAATCTACGCGCTGTCTTGCTGAAGCCTCTCGCCCCGAGAGCCAATGAGGGTACTCGTGTTCTGACCGCTACCGTCCCCAGCGAAGGGAGGCCCAGCCACCAGTCCTAGGCGGCTAAACACATAGAAACAAGAGCGCGGCGGACGGCGCGAAGTGCCAGAAACGACAGAACGGGAAGCAAGGAAAAGGGGCAACGGGCCCATGGAAGATGTGACAGAGAAGTGCCACCATCGGAAATGCTGCCTGTCCGTCGCACGATCTTCAGAGTCACGCCCAGAGGAGGAGCTTGTTTAGATAAGAAGGGACGGCAGCCGAGCACGTACACCAGAGCTAGCACCAAGACAGAGAATTAGCTCCAGGTAAGGGACAGCCCGAACCTGGAAGATATCATAATGCCTTTGTCCTCTGCGACATGAAAGCCCAGTGGTGATCGACGGTCCTGAGATACGTCCAGTGGTGGCTTTCGGTTTTGCGGCAATTCCAGTTGTCCCTTCATTCCTCTGGCAATCCCACCAGCCCTCTCGGCGTACATGGTCTAGAGAGCTTTCTCTTCCAACTCCCTTCTTCCCCTTCGGGGAGGGGCTTACCCCTCCCCCTCCCTCATCCCCTGGACCTGGAGGGGGAATTGCATGGGTCGTTGGAGCGTCCAAGATGGCCCAAGATGGCGCTAGGAGGGCCTCAGGGAGCTCACGATGAAAGATGGCCAAGATAGCCCAAGACGGCTCCAGATGGCTCCCAATGTGCTCCAAGAGGCACCAAGACCGCTCCAGGACGGCTCCGAGTGACCACGGAGCCTCCCCAGGAGGCCGCCGAGAGGCCAGAATCTTTCAAAAACTGATGGAAATCAACATATGTTGCCTTCTCGCCTTTTTGCTTCCGATGGCCTTCCGAGGCCTCAAGATGGCTCCAAGAGGGCCCATGAGTGGCCCAAGAGAGAGGCCCAAGAGAGCCCCGAAGCGGTCCCAAGAGCGCTCCAAGAGCGCCCCAACAGGGGCCCAAGAGGCGATGTTTGGGGCTCCCGAGAAGGGCCGTAATGTGTGCTCCCATCGTTTCTTGATCGATCTCCTCCAAGATGGCCCCAAAAGCGATCCCAAGGCTCCCAATCGCGGACCCTAAGAGGCGCCCAGGAGGCCCCAAGAGGCGCCCAAGAGGCCTCCAGGAGGCTCCCAAGAGACCCCCAAGAGGCCCCAGCAGGCTCCCCAATGTACCCAAGACGCTCCAGGAGGCCCCCGGGACCACCACCCCCAAGACGCTCCAAGAGGCCTCCACTGGGGGGGACCCTTCCTCTGTGTGCTGCCCCGTTCCCTGATCGAGGTAACTCTTCTGGGAATCGTTTCTGGATGGGCTGGTGGGGCCACTTTTTGTTCGCGAGCGCAAACGGAAGGGCCGCGTGCCGTCCAAAGTTGCAAACTGGTGGGGCTACGCCAAGAGTCTAGAAGTCCGGTCCTGATTTTCTGTAGGTGACATCCCGTGCTCGTGCCACCAAAAGGTCGGTCGAATGCGGATGCCGCCACACAATCAGAGGATGCGAGATGGAAACCATGAGGTAGCAGCGACCTTGAAATGACACTTTTCAGATACAGTCGGTCACCAACCCATGAGGTAGCCGCGAGCTTGAAGTCGTCAACCCACGAGGTAGCAGAACACTTGAAAGGACACTTTCCAGAGGCATGGTGTCTCCAACCCGTGAGGCAGCATCGGACCAGGATGATGGGGCGAATATCTGAGGCAAACTCCATGTCGTAGGAAGCTCTCCCCAAGAAGCCGTGGAAAATAATGCACTAGATCCTAATAAACCCAACTGTGAGGAGAAGGGAGTAGCAGAAGAAAGGCCGAACGAGGAACGAGGGAGAAGGAGGAAGATGAGGATGATGAGGAGGAGGGAAAGCAGGAGGAGGAGGGGGAGGATGAGGAGGAGGAGGAGAAGGAAGAGCGAGGAGAGAGGACGAGGGGGAGGACGGGGTCGCTGTCGTCGCCCGGTCCTCGTCCGGCAGCTCCACGAACACGTGGCGGTCGAACCGCCCGGGGCGCAGCAGCGCCGGGTCCAGCGCCTCGTGGCGGTTCGTCGCGGCCAGCACGACCACGCCGTCGCCGCGGCCATGGAAGCCATCGAGCTCCGTGAGCAGCTGGTTCAGCGTCTGCACGTACTCCTACAGGGCACTTTTAGTACATATGATGTTTTAAAGAGGATTATTATAACATGGTTAATTTATGAATATACCTATATATATATATATATGTACATGAACTCATCCTTGGTTTTAAGACTGAATCCCTGCATTTTCATTACATGATCCGCACGCGGAGCATGTGTTAAAACCGGCGCTGCAGGGAGGAGTCCCCAGACATCCAGCGGCTCGGGCAACAGTCGAGACTGAGGTTTTCAGAACCTTCGGACTCTCGGGGCCCTCGCCGGGCCCGGAACAGGCAAGGACGACCCGGGATGGAAAGGTTGGTCCTGGGAGAGGGGTCGAGAAGTCGGGGGCCCGTCTCGCAGAAGGTCGAGACGCCAGCTGTCTGAGAATCACACTGCCCAGAGATCCGGGCGCTGCACAATGGGCCCGACGGGGGGTTCTGCCAAGCCAGATTGGGCCAGATGTGAACTGGATCGGGCTGGATAGGGCTGGACTCCACTTCCCATGCGAAGCCGAATTCAGCCTCCCAGGAGTTGGAAATGAAAGTCCAGAGGAGGACGGGAGTAGTGTCATGATTCGATGGGCTCACGATGCTATCTGGGAGTTTCAGGGGGGTCTAAGAGCCTTGGTTCATTCGTACTCGACCTCTCGTCTGAAGCCGCCCCAAACAACAAAAACATGCGGAAATACGGGATCGCGTAACAGTTGATGATGAACGCTTGCGCATAACAACGCTATGGCAAGGATGCAGAGGGTTGCAGACAACTCCTGCCTCCATTGGGGGGGTTCAAGTCTAAGTCTAGTCGTGGAAATGGAGCAGTCCTCAAACAATGCTTGCTCTTGGGGGTTCTTGCTTCTCCTCTGACGAGCTGGGCCGTCTGGTCGATCTGGCGGCTATGTCGTCGCCGTCGCCGTCCCGTCGCCGCCCCGTCGCCGCCTCGTCGCTGCCCGTCATCTGGGCCGTGTGGTCGGTCTGGCGGCTATGTCTTCGCCGTCGTCGCCCCGTCGCCGCCTCGTCGCCGCCTGTACCTAGGCCTGTCTGTCGGTCTGGCGGCTATGTTGACGCCGTCGCCGCCCCGACATGGATTTCACAACATCGGTTACACTAAACAGGCCTGCGCCACATAGATTGCAACACATATAGGTTGCACCACATATTTAGCACCACATGTATTACACCATATAGATTGCACCATGTGTATATATACATATCTATATATATATATATATATAAATAGCACGGCCTCGATTTAAACATATATTACACCACGTCGATACGAATAGTTTGTACCACATGTGTGGCACCACATTGATGGCACCATCTAGCACAGCAAAGATTGCATCACACAACAACTGCACCACACATATTGCACATCATGGATATATTACATAAGCTGCACACCTCAAAACACACCATACATATTGCACAACCTGTTTGTTCCACACAGACTACACCACATATGTTGCACAATCTTGCGCAACATCTGCACTCCGTTCTGGAAAAGGAAGCTACGATCTACCCCCTCTGCCCCCCTGGATGATCGTCCCGTCCTGGGGATGTGCAATTCGAACTATGAACTCGTACCATCCCAACCAAGCCGGTATCGTCCCGCACACACGCACACACGCAGCATCCTCGACAACAAGCACGATTCGCGCACACTCGTTCATCAAAAGCCACCAATTCCCAAACATCCCGGCAAACAAATCAACGGGACGAAATACACACGCGCGCGCATGCCGAAACACTCGTGGCTGCGCAGAAATTGCACGATCGAGCGTCCACGAAACATATACCACAACAGACATGGGCTTGCAACACCAGTGGCAAACGTGATTCTCACATGCTGCTAAATTGGCCTTTCGCGCGCGCGTATCGATATCACTCGAGCGCCCTTGCGTGCGTGCTGTGGCCGGGGGGGCGGCTGCACGAACCCTCCCAAATAACACCATGCGGGCCAGTCGCGCCCGTCGGCCGCGCTCGAATATTGAAGTCGCTCCACAATCTGCATCACCGACGCGTGGGCACCATCATCGTCATCGGCGTGATCATCATCGGCGCCGTCTTCGCTTTGCCGTCGTCATCGTCATCGTCGTCACCAGCATCGCGACAATTATCGTGCCTGCCGTTGTCGACGTCGCCATGGTACCGCACCCGCCCGAGTCACCGACTCGCATTGAACTGCCCGTGCGCCAGCGCGGTCTGCGAGACGCGTTTGGCAGTCCCCAGCGGTCTGCGCCACCGCGGCCGCGTCGGTCGCGCTAGACTGGTTGGCCGCTCTGCGCGCGAACCTGCGCGCGCTAGCGCGGGCGCGGCGAGGCGCCAGCCGGCGCCAAACAGGCATCATCATTGCCGCCTCCTGGGTTTTGCAAGCCAAATTGCGGGTGGTTGGGTGGGATCGTTTGTAAAAAAACATATGGGATCTCCCCCCCTTCTCCAGGACTCAAAGGTTTTTTTGTTCTCGGGTGTTGTAGTTTACATACAAGCATGCCCCATCGTCCATGGGAAGATACGAATCTCAAACCATCCAAACCAAGCCATTATCGCACCCCCCCCCTCTCGTCCTCGGCCAAAACCAAAAAACGTATGCGCGCACTCTCGTATATCAAAAGCAACTGTTTCCAATAATCCCGTGTTGTCCAAAGGCCGGGACGAAGTTCGCTCGCGCGCACCGTCGCGCGTGCATGCCGATCCTTCAGCTACCATGGGTTTCGTACAAAGCGAATGCCACAACAACAATTTTCTCTTCAGCAACGAATGGTTTCGCAACGCGGATGTCAGAATGTTCAACGCACACCAGCGCCCCTGCCCATGTACATGCTCAAGAAAACACCAGTTTGCTCAACACTGCCATCTAGCACTATCAAACGTGCCTTTCGTGCGCGCGTGACGAAATCGCGCGCGCGCGTGCTGTCGCAAGAACACATTGCAAACGCAAGGCGGAATTCACATGCGCGGGCCGTCGAGCGCGCAATCTGGGAATCCATCGGTTACCAAAGTTTTCGCGGGGGCTGTCGAACCGAGCGTCCCAGAAACAGATAACAACAAAGGGCTTGGCGACAACAGCTTTCAGAAAAAGCCTGCGCTCGCGCTCTCGCAGCTTCTTTAGAACAACACAGGTTGTTCAACATGTTCATCACATGCTACCAAGCGGGCCTCTCGCGTGCTGGGGGGGGAACACGACCCGTGTCAAATAGTACCGTGCGAACACTCTCGCGCGTCGGACGCGCGCGCATGTCCAACTCTTTCCAAACCCTTCATCACCGACGCAAGGACGCCGAGGACGCCGTCATCGCATCGGCGCCGTCACTGGCTTTGTCGTCGTCTTTGTCGCCATCGTCGCCAGCATCGCTACTACCATCATCGTGCACACCGTGGTCGACGTTGCCATGATACCGCGCCCGCCCAAGTCGTCGACTCGAACTGAAGTGCCCGCTGGGAAGTGCCTAGAGGTCAGCGCCACTGCGTCCGCGTCGGTCGCGCCAAACTAGCTGGCCGCATCGCGCGCGAGCATACGCGCTAGCGCGGTCGCGGCGATGCGCCATCCAGTGCCGAGCAGTCATCACAATCGCTGCCGCATGGGCTTTGCAAACCAAGTTGCGGGTGGGCGGGCGACTTGCTTGCGCGAGCAGGTGGATTGACAACTTCAAACTTCGGCCAGGTGAATTGCACAACATAGATAACATCACGTATACCGCACTACGTAGATTGCACCGCATATCTTGCAGCCAGGAACACACTGTTTAGGGTCAACCTTGGCAAACAGATGCTGTGCGCGCGATGGTGAAAGTGCGGGCTGCAGCTTGTATTGTGGACTCTGTGGGGTGCACAGTACGAGGTGCAAGCTGCGCTGTTGGTCAAACCTGTGCGGTGCACGCTAGGTTGTACACAGCATCTGGGACGAAAGATGATATGCTGGCCTCTCTTCGTGGGGGCAACGACCCGTGTATCCTAAAAATGGGCCACGGCGCGCGGAGGGCACGAGGCGGGCACCTCAGCGAGCACGGCGCGAAAAAATCCGACACGCCAGCCCACCAACGTGGGACGCCACCCGGGGACAGCTTCCTTTTTTTTTTTGTTTGAGGGGGGTGCCCATGAACGCGAGCCGGCAATGTGTGTGTGTGGTTCCAACACGGCGTGGCCAAATTGAAAAAGCCGGTCTTCGTGTGAGAAGAGTGCTGCACAGGGAGGACAACCTCCGGAAGATCCGGCCAGCGGTCACGGAGCGGAGCGGGCGCGAGGCGGGCACGGCGAGGGCACCTGGCAACGACACACAAGGCCGAGCAGTTGTTTTACAAGCGCAAGACGGAGCCCAGCGGCACGGCACGACAGACGAGCGACGGACGGCAGACGAACGAAGGGAAGGGAGGCGGCGCGGGACGACAGACGAACGAAGGGAAGACCGAATACAGTTAGATACCCTCAGGGAAAATGTGAGTGTCTGGCGCACGCTTTCGATTCGAGAGCGCAAAATTGGAAAGCGGACCTCGCTCAGAGTACTGAGCGTGCAGACGGATTGTATCTCAGCTTGCCTGGGCTAAGGCACGGGACATCGACGAGCATGACTTGTGACGCGCCAGGCCTGTGCGATGGCTGCTTAGACAATTAGCAGTGTTCGTTTTGTGGACAATTATGTTTGACGACGGCTGTTCGCTGTGGAATGGACATGCGGTTGGAATCTCGAGCTGGAAATCCTAAAAGCAATCGACAAACCGAGCTGACCCGCCCTCACAAGTGCAATCAACAGACGCATACCAGATTCAGAATTGCTTGGCGCGCCTGGTGGAGATCAACTGGAGCATCGGCCTGCGATGGTGGACCCAACAAACTCGTCCCTCGAATGGATGAGCGCCTGTCCGAGAAGTGAGCTTTGCTACGGCAATTGAAACGAAGATGTCCACCAAACGCCAGATCCAGCACGAGAGTTGCAAGCAGGCGTCGGAGTGCTAGGTTTCAGTGCGAAACGAGGTGCCACCCCCGAACCCAGATATATGGTTTTCGTCACACTCGTCTGGGGGAGGCTAAAATCTCCCACTCGTGCGCGCTGGTTTACTCCAGCGCTGAATTTCCCATTATCCGAGGCTAAGGCAGCCGCCAGACAGGTTGCCAGCGATTCTACAACGTTGTGACGCGTGCCTCCGGCAAACGAGAGGCCTTGAAGCGCGGGCAGCCCCAGCGCAGACTGGAAAGTTGGTATCTGGAGCGAGCCCTGCTTCGCCCAGAGTAAGAGTTCTATTCGCCATTGGGCTGTGCCGCTGCCAGTGCGCCTTCCGCCCTACAAGACAACTGACTGCACCAACCCACCAACGCGTGCGAACTTGAGCACCAAACGACATCATCGAGGTTGAAGATATGCGCGGCACTACATCTTAATGAACATGGGAAAGAGCCCACGCAGATGCCGAGCAGGCCAATTTAATACCACGCTCGCTGCGGGACTTGAGCCTATTCCGCTGCCCATTGGGCGGCCGAGTGGGCCAAGACGCCGAACGGGCTCAAAAGCAACCCTGGGAATATGTCGGGCCAGCCTCTCCCTGCAAGTTCCAGATTTCCTGCCCGGTCTGCCTGCAGGCCCGCCAACCCAGGGACGCTGAAGAAATACCCGGTGGGCCAACTGGAAGGCTGAGGGAGACTAGATTGTCTCGGAGGATGTGCTGGCATAGGCTTCTTACCTCACTCTCGCCCACTACACGCGCGAGTTCAGACAAGTGCTCCATGCCGGCGGCGCTCGCACGGGCCAAAGCGGGGGGGGAGAGGGGCCAGATCTTGCAGGAATCGGCAGGCCCCCCCACAGGGAACAGCCAGAGATCCCGGCACTGTGCGGAGATCCGAAGATGATTTCAGTCAGCGCCCGCTTGTATTACCAGCCCGGAACACATCCCTATCCCTACGCTGGGCACCTCCTCATCACGATGGCAGTCTCAGGGAGTCCCTTCCTTTTTGAGGGCGGATCCCTAAGATGGCCGTCGCCTTTCGGCGTGCCAATCTCGGGGATAGGGATACGCTCGAGGCTGCTAATTGTAGCCCTGCGCGCGCACCAGCTCCTCGTGGAGGCCCCTCTTGGCGTCGGCGCCGCCCGGGCGCCGTCCCAGAGCGTCGAGCTCGTCGAGGAAGAGCACGGCGGGCGCCGCGTCCCGGGCCTGCTGGAAGAGGTCGCGGATGCGGCCCGCGCCGCGGCCGACGTAGACCTCCGGCGGGGGGGGGCGGGGCGGGGCGGGGCGGCCTCGGGGTGCGGTCGAGCCCCGAGGAGTCCTCCAGCAGCTGGAGCGATGTCTACCCCTCCTCTCCTGAGCTCCCCCCCCCCCCCCTCCCACCACCACCACCACACCACAACCACCACCAGCACCAGCACCAGTACCAACACCACCACCACCAGCACCACCACCACCACCACCAGCACCACCACCACCACCACCACCACCACCACCACCACCACCACACCACACCACCACCACCACACCACCACCACACGACAACCACGCACACACGCACGCACGCACGCACGCACGTGCACCACCACCCACTACGCACGCGCGCGCGGAGCCACAGGTCCGCTACGACACGCGTCCGCGGATAGAGAAAATCTGCGCCATGGTAAGGGATGGGAGGGAAGGGTAGGACGTCAGATATGACGCGAGCGCACCTAGCTTGCCCCCCACCTCCCCCTCCTCCCTTCTCCAGGATAGCTCCCCCTCCCCATGCTCCGTCTCGCCGCGCTCCCACTCTGCCCTTCTCCTCCGCTTCGGCCTGCCTCATCACCCGTGAACCTCCCCTGTTCTTCATCATGCCTCCTCCTCACGCTACTACTCCTCATCCTCCCCCTCGCCCATGTTCCTCCTCATCCTCTTCCTCTTCATCCTCCACCTCCTTTTCTTCCTCCTTCTCCTCCTCCTGCTCCTCCTCCTCCTCCTCCGACGACGACTCCTCACCGTGATCGTCCATCCCATCTGCCTGCTTCTGCTGCTATCTTCACGCAGATCCTGCAGAACGCGCCCGTGGCGCACCCCCAAAGGGGGGGAAGGGGTCCCTTAGCTACCCCTCCCCCTGGACCCCCCCTGCCGGCAGATCCCCCCCCGCCCTTTTTTTTCTCGCCTCTCGGAAGCTGCCCCCCCCCCCCCCTCCCTTCGCACTCTTGAAGCTACCACCCCCACTCCCTTTCCAGAGGGGTGGGGGGACTCAGCTTCCCCGCCCCCTCAAACTTCCCCCGCCGGAAGCCCCCCCCCTCCCCCCCCTCCTTTTTTCTCGCCCTTCGGAAGCTCCCCCCCCTCCCTTTCCAAAGAGGGGGGGGGGCTTAGCTCCCCCCCCCCTTTGAAACTCCCTTGCCAGACCTCCCCTCCTTTTTTTCCGCCCCTCGGAAGCTCCCCCCCCCCCCCCCCCTTTTCGCGCTCCGAAAGCTCCCTCCCCTTTCTGTCCAAAGGGGGGGAGAGTTGCTCCTCGGAAGCTCCATCCCCCCAACAGGCGCCGAATACCGAAAGAGTTGCGAAACCCAACGCTGCGCCGAAAACCAAAAGAACAAGAAAAATCAAAGAGCGCGGAAATACGAAAGGCCGCGGGAACCCAAAGGAGCACCAAAAACGAAAGAAAGGCCACCGAAAAGAACAGCAAAAACGACACGGGCGCTGGAAACTAGAAGGGCGCCGAAAACCAAGAAAGCGCCGAAGACCAATGGCGTGCCGGAAACCAAAAGGGCACCGCCAAACAACAGGTCGCCACACTCAAAGATGCACAGAAAACCACTGGCGCGCCGAAAACCAAAGGAGCGGCAAAACCAAAGGAGCGTCGTATATCAAACGTGCGCCGAAAACCCGAATGGCGCCGAGGACCCAAAAGGCGCCGAAAGCCAAAGGAGCGCCGAAAACCAAAACGGCGCCGAAACCCAAAGGAGCGCCGAAAACCAAAGGACGAGCAACGCGCCGAATACCTAAAGAGCGCCGACAACCACGGCGGCGCCGAAAACCACAGGGACACCGAAAACAACAGATGCCCCGACAACCAACAGGGCGTCGAAAACCAAAGGGGCGCCGCAGACCCAAAGAGGTCGAAAACAACAAGAGTCGCCGAAAGCCAAGAGAGACCCGAACAAACCAAGACGGCGCCGAAAAGTACAGCTGCGACGAAAACCAAAGGAGCGCCGAAAACCAAATGAGCGCCGAAAACCAATAGGGCGCCGAAACCTACGATTCGCCGAACACCGACGGAACGCCAACAGAACCTTAGGACGCCGAGAACTAAAGAGGCACCAAGAAATAAAGGACCGCCGACAACAAGGGAAGCGCCAAAAACCAAAAGAACGCCGAAAATCAAAAGGACCCCGACAACCAAAGATGCCCCGAGAAACCACGGATTGCAGAGAACAAAAGCGACGCCGAAAACCAAGTATGCTCCCAATGCCGAGGCGGCACCGAAAACCACAGGGGCGCCCCTTTCCCTTAGACGACACCTACCGGAAGCCTCCCCGCCTCCCTCCCTGTTCTGCTAGAAAGGAGGAGGATGGCTTGGAAAGCCCCCCTCCTGTGGCTAAAGGAAGGGCACAGAAAACCAAAAAACCGCCGACAGTCTAAGGGCGCCCATAACCAAAGTCGCGTCGACATCCGAAAGAGCGCACAGCAGCAACAACAACAACAACAACAACCTGAACACCAAGTAGGCGCCCAAATCCTAGAAGTCACCGAATACGAACTGAGCGCCGCAAACCGAAAGAGCTCCGAAAATCAAAGAAAACCTAACACCTAAGGGACGCCGAAACCCAAAGAAACGCCAAAATCCAAAAGGGTGCCGACAGCCGAAAGGGCGCCGAAAACCAACCAAACGCGGAAAACCAAAAGAGCGTCAAAAGCAAAGGGGCGGCGAAACCCAACCGGCGCCGAACACCAAACGAACGCCGAAAACCAAAGACCGACAAACACCAAAAAGGGCGCCAGAAACCAACGAGGAACGCGGCGAAAACCCAACGATACGCCGATTACCGAAAGATCGTCGGAAAACATGGCGGCGCCGAGCACCAAAAGAGTGCCAAAAACCAAGGACGCTCCGAAAACCAAAGAGGCACCCAAAACCAACGGGTCGCCGAACTCCGAAAGAGCTCCGAAAACAACAAAGGCGCCGAACAAAAAACAAAACGCTAATAACCACAACGGCGCCGACAATCAAAAAGGGACCGCCCTGAACAACTAACGCACACTTAAAGGACCCACGAACCTGGTGAGGAACTAAAGTCGAACTGTCCTATGACGCGCGTGCGACACTTTCCATTCGCTTGTCTGCAGCCACTGCCGCCTGCACGTCCTGCTCCTCCTGCTTCTCCTTTTCCTCCTCCTCTTCCTCCTTCCTCATTCCCCCTCCTCCTCCTCATCTCCCTGCCTCTGCCTTCCTCCTCCTCCTCTTCGTCGTCCCCCTCCAACGCGGCGACGCCTGTCACCTGTTAGGCAGCTCGGCCAGGCTGTCGCCCTGCTCCTCCTCCTCCTCCTGCTATTCCTCCTACTCCTTATCCGGCGTCCTCGGTCAAACGCGTCCTTCCTCCTCCTCCTCCTCCTCCTCCTCCTCCTCCTCCTCCTCCTACTCGTCATCATCCTCGCCGTCGTTACCTCCCTCACCCTCAATATCGTCCGCGTCGTAATCGTCGTCGTCATCATCACCATCATCATCACCAGCATCGTCATCATGATCGCCATCATCAACATCACCATCATCACCAGCATCACCAGCATCACCACCATCACTATCGACATCCTCGTCGGCATCGTCATCATCACCATCACCGTCATCACGATCATCACTATCATCATCAGCCGTCGCATCATCATCATCATCATCATCATCATCATCATCATCATCATCATCATCATCACCATCATCATCAACAACAACAACATGCGCTTGAAGCGAAAATGGTCCCGAAAACAAGACGGAACGCCGAAACCCACAACGTCGCTGGAAACAAAAAGGAGCGGCCACAAACCAAATTAGCGCCGACAAAGCCAAGAACGGCGCCGAACACAAAAGAGACGTCAAGAACGAAAGGGGCGCGAAAAAACAAGGAAGCGCCGAAAGCAAAGGCACGCCGAAAACCAAGGGGACGCCGAAACCCAAAGGGGCGCCGTCAACCAAAAGGGAGCCGAAAACCACAAGAGCGCCGAAATCCCAAAGGGCGCCGACACCCAAAAGAGCGCCGCAAACCAAGTGGACGCCGAAAACAAGAGCGCCGAAAATAAAAAACATCAAAAACCAAAAAAGCGCCGGAGCACCGAATACCAAGGGGGATCGAAACCGAAGAGGCACGGAAACCGAAGAGGCCGAAAACCAAAAGGGCTCCGAAAATCAAAAGGGTTTCGAAAACTATAGAAGCGCGGAAAACCACAGAGGCGCCGAAAACCACAGGGTCGCCGAAACCCGAAGAAACGCCAAAACCTAAAAGGGGGCCGACAGCCAAAAGGGCGCCGAAAACCAACCAAACGTGGAAAACCAAAAGAGCGTCAAAAGCAAAGGGGCGGCGAAACCCAACCGGCGCCAACTACCAAACGAACGCCGAAAACCAAAGAGCCGACAAACACCAAAAAGGGCGCCAGAAACCAACGAGGAACGCGGCGAAAACCCAACGATACGCCGATTACCGAAAGATCGTCGGCAAACATGGCGGCGCCGAGCACCAAAAGAGTGCCAAAAACCAAGGACGCTCCGAAAACCAAAGAGGCACCCAAAACCAACGGGTCGCCGAACTCCGAAAGAGCTCCGAAAACAACAAAGGCGCCGAACAAAAAACAAAACGCTAATAACCACAACGGCGCCGACAATCAAAAAGGGACCGCCCTGAACAACTAACGCACACTTAAAGGACCCACGAACCTGGTGAGGAACTAAAGTCGAACTGTCCTATGACGCGCGTGCGACACTTTCCATTCGCTTGTCTGCAGCCACTGCCGCCTGCACGTCCTGCTCCTCCTGCTTCTCCTTTTCCTCCTCCTCTTCCTCCTTCCTCATTCCCCCTCCTCCTCCTCATCTCCCTGCCTCTGCCTTCCTCCTCCTCCTCTTCGTCGTCCCCCTCCAACGCGGCGACGCCTGTCACCTGTTAGGCAGCTCGGCCAGGCTGTCGCCCTGCTCCTCCTCCTCCTCCTGCTATTCCTCCTACTCCTTATCCGGCGTCCTCGGTCAAACGCGTCCTTCCTCCTCCTCCTCCTCCTCCTCCTCCTCCTCCTCGTCATCATCCTCGCCGTCGTTACCTCCCTCACCCTCAATATCGTCCGCGTCGTAATCGTCGTCGTCATCATCACCATCATCATCATCACCAGCATCGTCATCATGATCGCCATCATCAACATCACCATCATCACCAGCATCACCAGCATCACCACCATCACTATCGACATCCTCGTCGGCATCGTCATCATCACCATCACCGTCATCAGCATCATCACTATCATCATCAGCCGTCGCATCATCATCATCATCATCATCATCATCATCATCATCATCATCATCGTCATCATCATCATCATCATCAACAACAACAACATGCGCTTGAAGCGAAAATGGTCCCGAAAACAAGACGGAACGCCGAAACCCACAACGTCGCTGGAAACAAAAAGGAGCGGCCACAAACCAAATTAGAGCCGACAAAGCCAAGGACGGCGCCGAACACAAAAGAGACGTCAAGAACGAAAGGGGCGCGAAAAAACAAGGAAGCGCCGAAAGCAAAGGCACGCCGAAAACCAAGGGGACGCCGAAACCCAAAGGGGCGCCGTCAACCAAAAGGGAGCCGAAAACCACAAGAGCGCCGAAATCCCAAAGGGCGCCGACACCCAAAAGAGCGCCGCAAACCAAGTGGACGCCGAAAACAAGAGCGCCGAAAATAAAAAACATCAAAAACCAAAAAAGCGCCGGAGCACCGAATACCAAGGGGGATCGAAACCGAAGAGGCACGGAAACCGAAGAGGCCGAAAACCAAAAGGGCTCCGAAAATCAAAAGGGTTTCGAAAACTATAGAAGCGCGGAAAACCACAGAGGCGCCGAAAACCACAGGGTCGCCGAAACCCGAAGAAACGCCAAAACCCAAAAGGGGGCCGACAGCCAAAAGGGCGCCGAAAACCAACCAAACGCGGAAAACCAAAAGAGCGCCAAAAGCAAAGGGGCGGCGAAACCCAACCGGCGCCAACTACCAAACGAACGCCGAAAACCAAAGAGCCGACAAACACCAAAAAGGGCGCCAGAAACCAACGAGGAACGCGGCGAAAACCCAACGATACGCCGATTACCGAAAGATCGTCGGAAAACATGGCGGCGCCGAGCACCAAAAGAGTGCCAAAAACCAAGGACGCTCCGAAAACCAAAGAGGCACCCAAAACCAACGGGTCGCCGAACTCCGAAAGAGCTCCGAAAACAACAAAGGCGCCGAACAAAAAACAAAACGCTAATAACCACAACGGCGCCGACAATCAAAAAGGGACCGCCCTGAACAACTAACGCACACTTAAAGGACCCACGAACCTGGTGAGGAACTAAAGTCGAACTGTCCTATGACGCGCGTGCGACACTTTCCATTCGCTTGTCTGCAGCCACTGCCGCCTGCACGTCCTGCTCCTCCTGCTCCTCCTGCTTCTCCTGTTCCTCCTCCTCTTCCTCCTTCCTCATTCCCCCTCCTCCTCCTCATCTCCCTGCCTCTGCCTTCCTCCTCCTCTTCGTCGTCCCCCTCCAACGCGGCGACGCCTGTCACCTGTTAGGCGTCTCCTCCTGCTCCTCCTGCACCTCCTGCTTCTCCTCCTCCGGCTCCTGCACGCGCCCGGAGCGCACGCACCAGGCGCAGGTGGAGCCCTCCTCGCCGCTGGTCCCCCCCCCTCCGCGCACGGAGCTGTGCCTCCAAGCAACTGGCAACCCCCGAAAATTGTGCCCCCGTGAGGCCCCGTGGGCACACGTACTCCAAATCCCGTATTAATCGACCCCCCCAACAGGACCCCCCCCCCTCCAAATGCGACCAAATATTCCGGCCCCCCCTCTTCGACGGGGCGCCTGAATAAACCGGACCCCCTAAGCTCCAATCCAAAGGAAGTGCCTAATAAACTGGACCCCACCAGTAGTTACAAAAAAGGCGCCTTAAAAAACCGGACCCGGGGGACGATTCATAAGGGAATTGGAATATCCAGCGCGCGCGCGCCAGAGGTATGTTGCACACACACACACACACCGGGCGAACCGTCGGCGCCGAGAGAAGACAAAAGATGAGACGTACCTTCGAACGTGCCCTCCCCCCCACTGGGGGAACGACATCCCAACAAAGGAAAAGAAAAACGAAAGGAGGCGGGCGGGTGCTTCCGAAGCCCCCCCCTTTGAAAGGGAAGTCCAGGTTGACCTTGGGCACACGAAAAGGAGGGAGGGAGGAGCTGTGAAGCCCCCCCCCCTGGCAGAGCAATATCTGATTCGAAAGGAAGGAGGAGGAAAGGTAGCTTCCGAAGACCCCCCCTTTGAAAGGTAAGCCCAGGCTGGCCTTGGGCTCAGGAAAAAGAAGGGGGGGTGGTAGCTTTGAAGCCAACCCCCCCTCGGCAAACCAATCTCGGCTGCGAAAAGGAGGGGGGGTAGCTTCCGAAGCCCCCCCCCCCTTGAAAGGGAATCCCATGCTAACCTTTGGCACCAGAACTGGAGGAAGGGGGGGGTAGCTTCAGACCCCCCTTTAGCTAGGGGCCCCCCTAGCTCCGAAATGTCATCAAAAGGAAGGCGGGGCAGCTTTGGAAGCCTCCCCTTTCCCAAGGGAGGGGGGGGGGGTAGCTTGAAGCTGGGGCCTCCCTTTTAGTGAGACGTGTGCCACGGGCGATCTCTTTCCTACGTATCCTGCAGCTTCGGCACGTGGTGCACCTCAGCCTCCCTCCTCCAAGCTTGACGAGGGGAATTTGAGGCTCCACCTTTCCCTCCTTCTAACCATCCTCCCCAGCCCTCGCCAATTCATCTGCTGATGCCCCTTCCTAATCTCCGATATCTTGTCATGGCCCTCTTCTCCCGCTCTCTGATACGCTGTCTCTTTCTCCGGAGCCATCCGTCCTCCCACCTCCCCGCTTGAGTCCTCCTCCATCCCTCCCACCCTCATCAGTCCACCATGCTTTATTTCTCCCCTTCCTCATCCCACGTCACTCATACCCCACCCCAACCCACCTGCCGGCCAACTCGACTTCCCCCGGCATTCCTCATTCCGCCCTCCTCATCTTCCCTCCTCCGCACCCTCCATCCCCCTTCAGAACTCCTCCTACAATCCTCCAATCCGCTGGGCCTGGATGGGCACTCCTCCTCCTCCTTCTCCTCCGCCGCATCCTCATCATCCTCATTGCCAGCCCTCATCATCATCATCATCATCATCATCATCATCATCATCATCATCATCATCATCATCATCATCATCATCATCATCATCATCGTCTGGCTTCTCTTTCCTCCTATGTCACAGAATCCTTACCCTTCTTGAAATCTCCACTCACCCTCCTCATCCAAGTCATTGTTTCTCCTCCCCCTCCTCGTCATCTCCTGGTGTCCTTCTCTTCCTCCTCCTCCTAATCATCATCCTCATCATCATCATCAGAAGCAGCAGCAACACCATCATCATCATCATCATCATCATCAAAATCATCATCATCATCATCATCATCATCATCATCATCATGATCATGATCATCATCATCATCATCATCATCATCATCATCATCATCATCAGCATCAGCATCATCATCATCATCATCATCAGCATCACCATCACTATCAATAGCAGCATTTATCACCACCATCATCGTCACCATCATCATCACCATCAGCAGCAGCATCACCTTCAGCATCATCATCATCACCAGCATCCTTCTCGTCAGCAGCATCAGCATCAACAACATCAGCAGCATCAGCATCACCCCATCATCATCATCATCATCATCATCATCATCATCATCATCATCATCAGCATCAGCATCATCATCATCATCATCGTCAGCAGCAGCAGCATCAGCATCATCATAATCATAATCATCATCATTATCATCATCATCATCATCATCATCATCATCAAAATCATCATCATCATCAGCATCACCATCATCGTCGTCATCTGCATCAGCATCAGCATCAGCATCAGCATCAGCATCAACATCATCAGCATCATCGCTATCCACCCCTCCTCCCCCTCATTCCACCCACTTCTCCTCCTCCTCCTCCTCATCATCATCATCCCTCATCCTCATCCTCATCCTCGTCCTCATCCTCATCCTCCTCTTCTTCCTCGTCCTCCTGCTCCTGTGTACTCCTCCTCCACCTCGAGATCATCCACCGCCTCTCCGAAATTGTCCGCCGTCTCCCGATGGGCCTGGTCCTCTTTCGGATCATCCTACCTCTCCCCTTGATGCAACGTTGCTCTCTCCTTCTGTTCCTCGGTCAATGTAGGGCCTCGATGAACTCAGCGGCTGAGGCGCTCAAGAATGAGCAGCGTGCCTCGCCTGCGGAGCCAAAACCGCGCACGGCATCAACTCCCCCCCATGAGCAAGGAGAACGGGGGGAGGAGGAGGAGGAGGAGGAGGAGGAGGAGGAGGAGGAGGAGGAGGAGGAGGAGGAGGAGGAGGAGGGGGAGGAGGTGGAGGAGGAGGAGGAGGAGGAGGAGGAGGAGGTGGAGGAGGCGGAGGAGGGAGGAGGAGGAGGAGGAGGAGGTGGAGGAGGAGGAGGAGGGGGAGGAGGAGGAGGAGAGGAGGAGGAGCAGGAGCAGGAGCAAGGAGGAGGAGGAGGAGGAGGAGGAGGAGGAGGAGGACGAGGAGGAGGAGGAGGAGGTTGGAGCGTCTGGGGGACCAACTGTTCGTATCACCCTACCGCTAAGGAAGCGCTTTGGATGTGCCTTACTCTCCTGGTGTGCCAACCGATAAATTGGAAGTAACATGCGGTGATCTTGGACACTTTGCGGCTGGGGTGGGTGAATGCAAGAGCTAGGAGGGGGTTCAAAAACAAGGGCGCTGGAAGAAGGACGGGGCGGAAGGAAACTCGCCGCAGAAGGAGGTCAGATGAGGATCAGACGAGAGAAGGAATGCGCAGCTCATCGGCATGCAGTCAGGGCATTGGATAAGGACACCTTGATAAGGGATCCAGGGTCTGGAAGCCGTTGGAGCGTCAAATGAGGCTTTGCCATGGATATCATCGCCGCCCTCAGCAGACAATAATCCTCCAGGGTATGAAGCCTCCTGGGCACATTCCGCCCCCCCACCGTATGGGCAGGACGTCAAAACCGCCTGGTCACAGCACCGACACGATGCTGCCTTGGTGTGCCAATTGCCGCAGGCGTCGAAAGGGCGGCGAAGCTCGCATGCTTACCGATGATGTCCCGAAAAAGGGATTGCCACCCAAGAGGGTAGTCCCCCTTCTAAAAACAACAACAACTGATAAGACGCGCTCCCGATCACCACCTAAAGCATCAATTGGAGCCATGTCATCATGGAGCGCCTTGGAGCGACTGGCAGTCCCACGCGTTGCATTCCACATTGCTCCAGGGCGGCGCAAACATGGATACCGGTCCATGGATTTGGCGCGCGATCGCCAAATCCATGGATCGGGGGAGGTGCCCTCCCCAAAATGCATCCAGTACCGCCTCGCTCGGCGAAAGAAATGTGAGATTTCCCATGGAAACGGGACCCGGCGCTAATCCACGCCCCCTTGATCGATGTTTCCGAGAGGCCAAGCGTAGATGGGAAAGCCGATGGCGCAAACGGAGTTCGTACAGAAGAGGGGCCTGCGCGGCCCTCCTGCGGCACACGCGCAGGCAGGCTGCCAGAGCCATAGTGGGCCCTGGAAACGACAGGGCGGTTTTTTTTACCGGTTCCGTTTTGCCGTTTTCTTGCCGGTTCCGACGCCGGTTTTTTACCGGTTCCGTCGCTGTTTTTTGACCGGTTCCAGCTCCAGTTCCAATCCTGGAGCTGTTTTTGTTGCCGTTTCCGGTCGCCGTTTTTTTGCCGCTCCATTTTCAAGAGACATTTTTTTGGAAACGGTTACAAAAACGGCCCTGCCATTTCCGGGGCCCACAAAGGCCGGAGCACGGGCAAAACCCCGATGTTGGGGCGGCCCCAAGAAAATACTGGAGGTCCACGGAGGCCTCCCCCCCGAAGTCCCCCCGTAGGCCCCCCGCAAGCCCCACGAGGCCCCTGGAGCCCCCACCCCCAACGAGACGGTGGCCACCCCCGCCGAAAGGCAGTGCCCCAAGGGCCTCGCGGTCCTCGAGCCTCGATCCCCGTCGACGATGCTGGGGGGTCGGCAGACGGGGGCGCCCACCCCACCCCCTGGCCCCGGATGGCGCCGACAGGGGGGCGGCGCCGTGGTGTCGAGACCGGGGCCGCGTCCCCGTCCTCCCTCCTCCGGCGACGACGCTGACGACGACGACGATTACGACGAGGACCACGGCGACGACGGCTACGGTGGCGACGTCGTCGCCGTCGACGTGCACGGCGACGGCGGCTGTAGCGGGCGTTTGCGGAGGGCGACGGGCTCCAGTTGTCCGGGCCTTTCGCTGTGGGCGCACGTGCGCGTGCATGGCAACAGCAACTCGACTTTGCCACTCGGCGATCGGCTGCGCCAGATTTTTTCTGAGGTTACTGGGTTTGCCCGCGCTCCCACACAGTGTGGCCAATTCACTTGAGTGTAGCCCGTTCCCGTACTTTTGGATGCGCTGACTGCATCAATCAGCGCTGTGGAGGGGGGGAACGAAACATCGTGTGCATCACAGCGTGCCTGCGCGAGTGCCTGCACGGTCTTACCCAGGGCCCGTGGGAAGGAGGGCTACGGTCGGAAACTGTTGCTTAGCGTGTCGCGGCGGCGGCGGCGTCCACAGGCTGTGCCCTGCGAGTGGGCAGCGCGTCGCTCCACTCCGCGGAGCGTGAGGCTCGGGACGTTGACGCTTGGGGACTGGGACGCGGATAGCGTTCGCGCCGAGGCGCGGTGGCCAAGACCCCCCGGCGCGACACGCTAAACCAACGTTACTGACCGTACGGGGTCGTGGCGCAAAGAGAGGGGATCCTTGAGGTTCGAAAATCGAGGTGTGTTGGTTCTTTTCGGCCTCTCATCGTCTTCCGTGGTCGTCGTCCTCATCGTCGAACCCACAGACCCAGAAAGCGCCGAGAACTTCCAGAAAGGAGGAAACAATCAGCGAACAAACACAAAGCCAAGGAAGGAAAGGAAGGGACAGGAGGAGAAGGATGAGGACCCGCCTCGGGACCCCCTAGAACGCCTGAGGACACACAAAAAACCTCCCCCTCCCCCAAAAAACGAGTACCCCCCACATCCCCATCATCCTTCTCATCCTCAGCCCTCCACGTCCTCCTGCTGCTCGTCTTCCTCGCTCATCCGACTCATCCCTCATCCCAAATCCTCCCATCCTTTCTCCCTCCTCCTGTCCCTCATTCTTCCTCCTCCTCGTTATCTTTGTTGTTCAACGGCTCTCTCATCACCCCCTCGAACTAGGCACAGCGGAGCTGGCAGAACATGTGTTATAATATCAAACATGCTAGAGCCTGGCCCACCATTCTTTCACCCCCCTCCTCGGGGCAATATGAGCGGCCACGAGTTCGAAACGTGGTGGCCTCGCGGCCACGGCGTCTTGCCTGCCAGCAACTGTCTGCGGTGCTGGGCAATAACTTTCAAGCATGGGGCTCCCAAGGCACGAGCTGGGCGGCCCGTAGTGTAGGCGTCACACCTTATGCACAAGACAACGGGGAGCCCATGCTCAATGATTCCACAAGCATACAGCTTGCGGGAGGGTGATACCTCAACGTCCCTGACCTGTAGCAGGGACGGAGTTAAGACCGCACAGGCCCCCCTCGCACATGTATGATGAAAACTCTTCGCCACATGAAGCCGCTCCACAGAGCACCGAATGCAATATCAGATGGAGCCGTTCCACAGAACACAGTGAGAACGCTTACTGACGGTCCCCTTTGGGACAAGAGCCTCAGAAACACCTGTCGTCGTCTTCTTCCCCCTTCTCATCATCATCCTCGTCCCCCCTCCTTCTTCCCCCACCTCCTTCTTCGTGATGACGAAGACCACGAAGAAGACACCGACGCCATCGACGAGGAGCACAGCCATGACGACGACGGCGACGACCAATAACCAGTCATGAACTCATCTCGACCCCCAAGGTTGACAGACTCTGCAGTCGATGGCACGATCAAGAACCCTCGGGATCGGCACCGAGGCGAATTAATGCAAATCAGAAGGGTAACGATGTGGCCAAGGCTGACTGGGGGGGGGGCATGTTAACCTGCGTGGGCCCCAAGCAGCGTGTTTCTAGCAGCAGGCGTTGTGCAACCCAGCTGGGGCAAGCTATGTGGTGCAATCTGCGTGGTGCAACATAGACTGTGCAATGGAAGTTGTGAAATCGATGGTGTGGACTATAGATATCGTCCTCTGTAGCGTCGCAGAAGGTGAATGTTTGTTTGTGGCACAATGTATGTGGTGCACCACAGGTTACGACATATGTTTTGCATAGTGTGTAGATATATCCAAACACCCATGAACATCGCGATGCGCCTACATACATGTGTACACATATGACTGATGCACATCGATGTATATGTATATATGTGGTGCGAACTATGTGCTGCAACTTATGTGGGGGGCGCTTGTGTGGTGCAACCCACGCGGTGGAATGTGTAACGTGAAGCATTTGTGTTGCAATAAATATGCTGCAATTTGTGTGGTGCGGCTGGCGTGGTGGAATCGATGAGGTGCAATAACTGTTCTGCACTCTACGTTGTGCAAATGCAGTGGTTCAGTCAATGTGGTACAATCCACGTGGTGCATCCTACGCGGTGGGATCTACATGGTACATCTATGTTGCGGGCCTACTAGTGCAATCGACTTGGTACGATGTGCGTGGTCCAATCTACGTTTGTACAACTGGCCTCGTTTAATCTAAGTGGTGCAAACCACAATGTCGAACTTCACTTTTGTCAACCCCACAGCTCGCGCAATCATGCCACCAACCCACCCACAACTTGTTTTGCGAAACCCATGCGGTTGCGGTTGTAATCACTGCCTCGCGCTGGCTGGCGCCTCGCTGCGGCCGCGCTAGCACGTGCAGGCTCGCGCGCGGAGCGGACGGATAGTATGGCGCGACCGACGCGGCAGCGGTGGCGCTGACCGCCCGTCGCTTCGCAGGCCACGCTGGCGCGCAATTGCTTCACTGCAAGTCGGTGACGCGGGCGGGCGCGGTAACATAGCGACGTGGACAACGGCAGACACGGTGATGATAGCAGCGATGCTGGTGGCGACGATGGCGTTGACGACGGCGGAGCCAAAGGCAGCGCCGGTGCAGGTCACGTCGGCGACGATGATGTGGTCAGTGTGTCGGCGATGAAGGTTTTGGAAAGGATTTTGACATGCGCGCGCGGCCTGCGGGCGCGAGTGGCCCGCGTGGAATTGTTTGACAAGGGTCGCGCCCCCCCCCCCCCCCGCAAGCGCGGCG